TCGAGTTCCTCTACTCAATTTATTTTGAAACGCCAACCGAGTCGCTGTTTCGTATATTTGCCGGTGAGAACCACATACTTACATTACCGTCCGAGGGTCGGTGGGGGTGACTAAGTATCGGCATTATTTGTGTCCCGCAGAGTAAGTGGGTGTGCATGCGAGCTGCGAAGAGTGCGGCCCATAGTATTATCAGTTCAAGTTGGCCGAGACGTCCGAACGCTTAAGTTGTGTTGCATTTCTTTTTCTTCTTTTTATGGGTTTTTGTTCACTGATCGCGTCTGGATTGCATTTTTATAAGTACACACAACGCCCATGCAGATTCTTGAAAGCGGCATTACTTTTTGTCCCTGGCACTTGAGTTTCCCCGTGTTTCATGTCGAAATTTGTTAAGAGCCTTATTGGTGGTTGAAGATGGTCTCCAGCCCCAGCCTGAGGGTAAGTAAGGTGACTTAGTTGATCTGTTTGTTTTCTTCCGCCTTTCGAGTTCAAATTGGTGATTACCGCGAGCGGGAGTAAAATTCCCTTGATGCGACGAAGGATGGGAAAAAAGTGAATGCATCTGGGGCACTCCTTGGAGTAGAAGTCAAGATAAGGTCACGTTTCCACTTCATGTTCCCAATCAAGTCGCACTGTCCGTTTTGGTTTTTTCTACGTATTTGACTGAACATAGTACATACAAGTTACGGATGTATTCTGAGTTCGAGAAAATCTAGAAGATGTTTAACTGCCAGGCTGAACCCTAGTGCTTGCACCACTTCCCTTGATATCCCTTGGAATTCACAAGAACCCACCTAAAAATGCACGTTTTCTGACTCAATTTAATTTAACCCACCGTCATAGCAATATCAAAGGAGCTGCCAGTGAGCATTGAGCTAATTTTGACAAGACGTGTGACCATGCTTGTTCCTCTCAATCTACGCTTGAAGCACTTGAGTAAAAGAACACAAACGTTCACGTATTTTTGACTTGACATTTTCTCGTAAAACGCTGCTCACCGACGCCCGACGATGAAGAGCAGTTGGGAGCTGGGTCGAAAGCGGGAAGCGAATTGTATGAACTTGTTCGGGGAATGCCGAAAACTTGAACTCCTCCCAACCTCCACCAACCAACGTGCGCCTATCATTAAGCACTTGCCCTCGAGGGTGGGCCCCTGGCCCTCCATTTTTGCAAACCTTGACATGACATGTCAATGTCCCTGATGATAAGCTTATGCTCAGTTCAGGTTCAAAGGTCCATGTCTGGACCGTTTCCTCCGTCGGACTTGCAGTATCTCGACTGTTTGAAAAGAAATAACAGGTCTTGTCAAGCGACAAAAAAATACGGCCTCTCTTCGATGTTGGTATGATCGCAATCCTTCACCGTTCTTTGGTCAACTTCATGCTGGTTGCTTGATTGCGCCCGCTAATCTGGAACGCTGCGCTATCTTGCCTATGAGCCTTCCGGAATTGACATGTCTCTGCTCCCCTGGCACTACAAGACTGGAGCTTAAAATGTCTTGATCAGGGACATTTCCCCACATCCACTGGATCTGCGGTTTATCCCATCGGTCATCGTTGCGGTATGCATTCTTATGAACAAACAGATACATCGAAGGCTCTTCGTTTGTGTTACAATTCCCTCGCAGGCTTTCTGATTGTCATTGAAGGTTATCTCGTCAGATAACACCTTGACAGTCCAGTGGCCTGGGCTGTCGCAGTGCCCACTTGCGACCGCACTGTACCTGTGGAGTTAGGAACGTTGCTGATTCATTCTCAAGTGCTCTTTAGCCACATCTTGAAAGGCTCACACCTGTTTTTGAAGTCTACCAGGTGGGGCTATGAACTCAATTTGTTCATGCCCCCTGAACTCTTCCAGAAACTTGAAGAAAGTCTGCTTATTCGAAAATAACCAGCTCATTAGGTGAAGAGACATAATATCTGTTCACTCTCTTCCGTAAATGTCCGGTAACAACTTCTTTATATCCAGACGTGTCCTGCATCAAAAAATATGTGCACAACGAGTGCGCAGCGTGCCGCAACAAGCTGGCTTATCGGGCTATGTTTAGGGTTTTTACCCGCAAGAACCATGTTCGCGTGATCATCAAGACGAAGATTGTAGACTTCACCACTGGCCTCCGAAGGCCTTCAAAACTTCCGGAATTATTTCATCCTCGCAAATGATCTATCTCATGAGGACCCCACGACGAAAGCCGACCGTCTATCATTGCGGGATCGCGGTTATCTTCCCTCCAATTCAGACTAACCCTGCCGGTTTCGGCTACTTTCTGGGGCATGAGAATCACTCTGGATGGTCTCCAAAAACAGCAAATATCTTATGTGCCTTATGGGTCAATAAATCGCGTCGGCTCCCCGCACCGACCTAATTAGGGGACGTCAAGAAAAGATTTATTGTTCGCGATAGTTTGACTTCAAGATATGCCACTACTACTACGAGTCAAAGTTCTACAGCTTCCCCAACTGCAAATTCCTTCTCACGGTATATTGAGTTCAAAAAAAAGCCACATACTAGTAAATCCGTCGTTTAGTTTGAATCTCGGACACTGAGCGGCGTTGCGAATTCCCGCCCCAATTCTTTGGGCCGTTGTGGGTGCAATGATTGTTCAAGTCAACAACCGCGCATGCGCCTACCACGGCATTTGTTGAATAAATCGTGGAAACGTCTTGACTACGAATTGAGTTGAGTGGGGGACTTTGACGGAAAGTACAGGCGAAGGATCCGTGTGCGTCGTCATTCCCCAAGTCAGGTTTCAAGTTCGATGATTTAGCGACATTCGGCAACGATTGGTTCATCCCCTTGCGGCCATGATTTCCACCTTGGAGCTCCATGTGTCCTATTTTGCACAGCGCCATTGATATAGATTTATCAGTCTGCTCACACGAATAATCCATGTGATACGGCGATTTTTTGACAGCAAGTTCTTACCCGGTCTTGCTCGAGTGAGTTTCAAACAACTTAACACTGAAAAGTCTATTTAGCGTTCAGGGACGCCGGCAGAAAATACTTGCCTTTTTGACTCTAGTCGCCTGGCAGTAGCTGCAGAGCCGCTGAGAAACGGAACTAATCAATGGTGGGAGGGTATTTTAGCACCGCCTTTGCTCTTTGACATCATCTCAAGTTTCGCAGACTCTTTCAAGTATTTTCATAAATAAAGCGCCGTATTTTAAAAAATGCAGGGACAACTCACAAGGACAATCCAAATGACGGATCTCCTTTATTTTTGACGTGGAATCGACATTCAGTATGTCACCAATGTACTGGTACGCGCCGCTGATTCAGCCATGGGAACACTCACAGAAGGGTACGGATGGATCAACGAGAGAAACAGAGAAAAATGTGTAAGGTGGTCGCGCAATCCAATGTACTGGTACGCGCCGCCGGTTTAACCATGGGAACACTCACAGGATGGTACGGATGGATCAACGAGGGAAACAGAGAAAAATGTATGAGGCTGGCGCGCAATCCCATCGGTTCCGCGGCATATAAATACCTGCGTTCCTCGGATCAAGATTTGCCACAGAGGTTCCTCGAAATGAGCGCGCACTGTCAGTGATAGCGTGTGATTAGTACTGAGGTGTGCTGAATTTTCGGGCGAGTAGATATGCACGAAAGTATCTTCCCGATGATCGACTTGAATCCCAGAGCTTATCGAATCGATGGGTTTTCTGCGAATAGGCAGGATATAACTTCGCTGGGCCTGCAATCTAACAATCAAATTGAGAGCCTCAAGTATGCGGCGCGGCCTCGGCGCTATCGCTCCGTAAAATAAGGAGTACATAGTTAGCGTTTGAATCCGTGTTAGCGATTGTCACAAACTTACAGACAGCTGCGCCGATAAATCTCCGACGTGTGTATCTTGGTTGTGGATAGTTTGGACACAACAACACCTGCCGAATCACAGCAAGGGTGAGTTAGTAGTAATTCTTAGACCGCAAACCTGTGAAGGAGCAACGGTTCAGGTTCAGTGAAACGGCATGATCTATAATAGTAAAAGAAATTACCAGATGTTGCCTTACCGACATTATTAATGACAAGTTAGCGCTTTAAGACGCCGGTCGCTAGTGAGGGTGCTCGAATGCAGGGGAGACGAGTCCGATACTGTTGTTTCGGCGATATTTGCGTGTGAATTTTGGGAAGAGTGTGCAGCTTTGGTGTGAAGAGATTCGAGAAGATGTAAATGAGCCAACCAGATGGAACGTTGCTGTGCATAGACAGCGGAATGTGCTTGGAATGTGCAGTGCCAAGTCAGGAAGCCAGATAAATCCGAAGTCCGTCGAAGATGGTGTCCAGGATATCAGGTACCCCATAATTTTGATACCAACAAGTGGGAAAAAAGTACACAGGTGTCTGAGTTCGAGCGAATAGAAACAAATGTCATAGCTCCATGGAATCCGACGTCAACGGATAGGGTTGAGGATGAAGTAGAGCAATCGTGGGATGGCAAGGACAGCTGGGTTTACGCCTGGTGAGAAATTGAAGAAATGCCCTCAGAAAAAGAAACTCAACGGAGAAAATGGGTAAAAAATACAATTGCATGGACACTGTTCCGTATGCCACGTTGTTACAAGTTGTGCACAACAGCGCATCGCGGAGTTGTTGAGTTCATTGAGGGATCCCCAAGCGTCAAGATTGTTCCGCTGGAAATTCCGCCTTAAGGGTTAACGAACAAGAAAACTCAACAACACTTTTTTTTTCGTTGGGAGGTCAATAGAGAGACGGCGACTCCAATCGCTCGCCCAGTTGATGATGGATGCCACGGGGAGGAAGAAAGTGGTTGAGCGTCAGTTTCAACCTTCATTACGTAAGCACAAGAGTTGTTGACGTTGCATCGTCGTTGACAACGACTACACCCTCCTCGCCGTCGACCACTCGCTGACGAGCGTCCACCCGCCTCAATGCCTATCAAGCATCTTGAAAGTGAGAGTCGTCAACCATGACATGACATCTGGTTTGCTCAGTCAACCCAGCAAGACAAAGTTCGCTGACTTTTTTCCTGTGATACAGACTACCTCTTTGAACGAAAACACCTGCAAACTCTTCCGCTCTCCGTGCTCTCAGATTCCCGACTTGGTATCGATGCGTCCTATTACCTCCAACAACTGACGGACAACCCTCCTTCGAGGGAGCCCTTGCTCGCTGCCACTGGCGGTTTGCCTTTGGCGCTCACACAGCGCATCGAATCTGACCTGCGCGCCCTTGAAAAACTGCGGATTAAACCCGTTTTCGTTTTCCCTGGCCTTATCCCTAACAAGCGGTGGAAGCAGAACCATCATTTGGAGCATGCCGAGGCGTGCAGAGACCGACGTGACGCGTGGGCAAAATACGAGGCTGGTCAGGAGGAAGCCGCAACAAAATTGTTTGAGGGACGGAGTAGTTTCGCCCAGTGGGACCTCTGGAGGATGGTGCTTAGGATTTTCCGGCATAGGAACGTGGATTTCATCATTGCTCCCTATGTAGCTTGGGCTCAGGTATGCGGCCAATTCACCCTGTTAATTTGTTGATATTCTGACCTGTTGCTCGCCCCCTTTAGTTAATCTACCTCCAACGCCATTCCAAGTCGTACATACATGCCATCTACGGGCCCACGGATACCCTCCTCTACCCCAGCGTCGACAAGCTTATCACCTCTCTCGACTTAACCTCGGCCAGCCCCTCCTTTCAGTATACCTCAAAGCGGACTTTCCTACAAGACCTAGGAGTATCGGAGGATCAGTTTCTCGACATTGGTATTCTCGTTGGCTTTGATCACTCGCCGCCTTTCCCACCAACTATCCATGAACAAGCACTCAAAGCCACAGTCGACATGGTCAAGTACTACAAGTCGGGACACGCCGCAGTGTCCGCTTTCGCCGAACATCCCGCCGTAAAATCCATTCAATACTCGGACCACTATGCTCGGACACGTTCCATGATCAAATACTCTCTCATTCTCTCATCGGAAGGCACGGTTTTACCACTCCCACTGGCAATCACCTCTCCCGCTACCCACAGCCACCCAAACCACCATCCTCACCATCCGACCGCTGCAGACATTCCGCAGGATCTCCACGAGATATTCACCAATAGGTTGCCGGATGAGATATACTTTTATCTTTCTCGTGGGCTGTTAGGACCCCAGGCTCTCGTCTGGCTGACGAGCGGACAGATCATCGAGAACCCCCCTTTGGACAACGGCGAAACTACAGAGTACAAACGCTTCGTCAAGGAAGTGATCACCGATGGCCAAACTGGGCCAAGAGCCACGGCGCTTGCCCTCGTCAGCAGCGTTGCTTTCAACTTTTGGGCCAACAAGAAAGTTCAGGGTTTCTTCTGGTTCGAGCAGCCCACTGGACACAACCAAAAACCCGTCCAGCACAACTCTCCGCAGACGGCTCAGCTTGCCGAACGGGTGGCTGGGTGGAACGTTGTTTATTCGGTTGTGGAGGAGGAATTGAGGAGGCAAAACGTAAGTCTCTTTTCTTGAGAAGAATCGTCCATGAGTGGTTAGCTGACTTTCACCTGTATCAGTCATCTACCATCGACTTTGCTTTGTGTTTGGGTGCGACGGCAACGGAACGCCTGGCCGCGCGAACCAAAGTCAAGAGCAGCCCCCCTATCCCCCTCGAAAAAAAGGACGAGGTTGTGGCGAACGTCATCTGGCGTTTCTTGGAACTACGAGGGTGGGTTTATTTTTATCTGCTCCTGAAATTGACTGATAATTGGATGCCCAAACAGATTTTTGTTGAACTCGCATACGCATTCTCCGCTGGCGCGTGCGATGAACCAGGCCATTAAGCTGGCCCGCGTCAATGACAAGTTCCAAGACCCCCTTTACTTGTTCCTTGAGCTCGTCAGGGCAGGAGTAATGCATGGCCATCTCTGGTCTGGCCGAGCCTTCAGTGGTGGGCCGAGCTTTGGGACAGGTGCGTTTCAAACATTGTCTTACAGGAACTGAACTTGTGTTGACAATTCGGCTCTTCTAGATGATGAAAAGTCATCAATGCTCCTTGTGATGCGGGTGCTTAGTATTGTGCCGCTCAACTTCAAGGTGGGTTGTACGGGCTTCAGTGTAAGCAACGGTTACTCATGCAACTTTTTCATGTAGCCGCAACCTTGGTCCGCGCCTCTGTCTCGAGAGCTGTTGGTGTTCAACTCGTTTGTACGGTCTCTCACACGGGCGCTTAGGACCCTGCTGGAAGTCACTTCGCTGAATATGCTCCTCCGAAATGATGCTCGACGAGCACGGGATGATTTGTTAGACATCACACTCTCACTTCCGTTCCAAACTGAGGTTAACACCGGATTCGGCATTCTCGCCAAGGTGTATCTTGATGCCCTGACTCACATTAACAACCGGACTAGGGTTCGGGATCCTAATGCTGAGGGCGTTAAGGAGGCCAAGGCGTTGGCGCTCGAAATTTGTGAGGAAACGTTCACGGGTGTCAAGTATCCCAAGCTGGAGGTAGAGAGGGGTTTCAGGTTCTGGGACGTGGTAAGCGGCACGGTTTTTTTCTTATTGTTAATGATATAACTGAAATGGGTCGTGTGTGTGTGTGCCTTTTCCCTGCAGGCTCTGACAGCGATGAGGCAGCTTCATTCCGAAGGAGCCGTTCTGCGCGAGTTGATTGACCAATTTGAGGCGGCGGAGGTGTGGCTTGCCCCAATGAGACCATGATTACACCTTTCTGGGTAAGCCGTGGGGGGCGAAAGATGTTGCGTGGGAAGGAGGCGTTGGTCGTAGGCTCATGATTATCACGCTATATGGAAGTTACGACGTGCGCTTCAGGTTGCAGATGGTGATGCATGTTGATATGTTACCAGCGAACCTTTGGGGCGCGCCGTTTGATGATTTCATGTCGGCAAAACGGAAGTGAGCTTATGTATGGTGTACGGTAAGTAAGGAGACGGGTGATTTAAATTGGGCATCCCTGGATTTGAAGGGCGTGAGGACAACTTGCGGGTTTGTTTGTTGAGTGGGAATCCGGAGGATATGGATTTTATGAGCAAGGATCAGGTGAGAAGAGGTTATAGAACCAAATACGGAAATCTGATAAGGGGATCTCGATTTACGTGTTGCCTGGTTCAGCGACTAAACCCGAAGCGGCAAAGAAAGGAAACGAGGGCACGTGAGAAAATCTTGAATCTTCGATCGGACTCTTGGATAATCGTGGATATGTCAGATGGATCTTCTGCCAGATTTTTGCTATGCACCCAAGAGGTCACCCAAGAAGTCACTCCGGTTAAGAACTACTACAAAATACGCATGCTATAAGCGTGCCAACCCTGCTTTCTCTCTCTTCTCAAGAAAGCTCTCTCAAGAACACCATGTTCGCTCTTCACCACCACAACAGAATGATTGTCCCCAGCATGCCCCTCTCAGACGCCTCCTCCGACATTCTCCTCCGCAGCCTGCCACAGCAAAAATTCACTCCACGCCACGTCTACTTGCGCCAGCAGCATACCGTACAAGTTATAGAGCTCGTCGAGGGCCCACCACCCCCACCTCGTCGAATCACCTCCGTCATCAACGACTCCTCAGTTGCCGCCTCCTCTTCGTGCGACGATTCTTCGTCAGAAGATTCTGCGTCGCAGCTGTCAACTGAGGAACCATCCTGTTCCTCCTATTGCTCCTCGGACATCCCACCAGAACATCTAGAATCATCCCAATCCCACGAGCAGACACGAGCAGAGTCGTCTACAGAAACGTACTCTGTCAGAATGAAACGCATCCTTGCGTGGCGCGAGAATTTCTCCTCATCCATCGGCGCCACTTTCTCAGGTATGTCCGGCGTTTACAGTAGTTCCTCCTTGTGTTCGCTTGCTGATTCCCTTCGCTTGTTAGAACCCCACCTACCATCATCATTGAAGCGCAAGCTCGCTTGTGATGAGGAGGACGATGATAACGTAAGTCAAACCCGCGTCTTTACGTGTGGAGAACATCAAATAACTGACCTTCCTCTAGGTATCCCACACATCCAAACGATCACGTTCGCAGGCATCTCAGGGGGCGGCTAGCGCAGTCTCGCTTGGGATGCACTCCTGTCCTGCGTGCGACGCATCTTTTTTTACTCAGCAAAGTCTGCGCCAACATGGGCTAGATGCCAAAGCCAACGAAGCTTGCTCCGTGGCCGTGGAATACGCTTTCGAGTGATCCACCCACCCTTCTTCCTTGCATCGTTTTCTTCCTTGCATCGTCTTCTTGTGAAGGCTACCAACACCGGGACTCTTCGCCCCTCTTCGCCCCCTCCCTTCTGCATCGCCCACCTTATGGCCGTTTACATCTATTTTACCTCAAAAGCCATCCATCCTGCACTAGGCTTTCGTGCTAATCACCGCAATTCGTCTTGGTCACATCTGTACACAACACCATCATCACTTAGAACCCAGCATTCTCAACTGCACCACCAAAAAGCATCATCAGCATTTGTACTACCACACTCTTCATCACACAACGCATTATCCCGACCACCATTCACGCTGTTTTCTCGAAAACGCCTTTTTTACGAACCACCCCAAATTTATCAACTTCATATTACTTATTCTTACCTATAATGTGGCATCCAGCTACCGTATATATACATTCAATCAAAACGTAACGCTCGAGCATGCAATGCACGCGATTTTCGAACTTGCTCGGCACACAGCCATAAACTTGAGGATGTTGTACTGGAATGTTTGTCTCCAGTCAAGTCAAGTCAGAACTTGACGTAGGCACTCCTCGTTTTCTACGCACACAACCAGAATAGAACCTCAGGGTGCAAAAAAAAAGTGACAAGTACGATGTCTGTCACCCGAAGCTCGTGCGATTCCATGGGAAAAGCGTCTTACTCACGCTCATGGCTGCCCTCCGGAACTCCCATTGGTGGGCGCCTTTGTACTTGCTGTTGTGTACACTTCCGCTCGGCATGCCACGGAACAACCCAAAGTCCGTTTTCTTTACAACCTTATAATGAGTGCACAACCCCTTCTGGGGATGGAACGAAAGGGACTTTCACAAGACAAGGTCAGAAACGTCCACACCGCCCCCCCCTGGTCCTGGCTGGGTCCTGGTCATCTGCCCAAGTAGCGCTTTTTCGATTTTTCGAAGACAGCGCATTCTCTCAAGCTTCGCTGGTCAGCAGACGTGCCACGTCGAAATTCGAATCTAGGCAAGGGGCTTAGTCAAAATTTTTCCTCTATGCAATCAGGACCTTTCGTGTGCGCGTGTGCCCGCAACAAGGAAGGACAATAGCGTGCGAGGCGGGACGAAGCGAGGTTAGCGGAACTGAGCGTCATGGCATTCATTCGATTTCGGGGCGATACGAAACTTGGCAGTGTCACCACCCCCCCTCCTTCCCCTGGCCCCTCAATATCTGTACTAGCGCGAGCTCAAGACCTTCCCATGCACAAAATTGATAATCACCGCGTCACGGTCTGTGCCCAGCTGAGGAATCTGCGCTCAATTCGAGATCAGGCGCTCTCTCGCCGTACGCCCCAATCTCAACTTGTGCTCTCTCCATTGCTATCGCCACTTTTTGCATTCTCTGATAGTGATACGCTCTAACCCAACTTTACTCTATGAGATGAAGTTGGAGCTGGCGAGTATGCGCCGCAGTTTGTCCGACTCCGTACGCGTTATGGGTTGCTGGAACTTGGAAGAGAATCTGTATATGCTAACCTACTCCCACAGCGCGGGACGGGCCGACCGGTGCGCAGGGAACCACATCAGCTCCTTCGCACAGCTCAGAGAAGACGCACTGGCGAGGTGACCATACGCACGGGCGGAACGCGCGGATGATTACACGTTCGTGTGCGTTTTAAGCTGTAGAGGACAAAGTTCGGGCTGCACCGTGACATTCCTTTGTGCTTACTAAACGGAGCTCCACGTTCACATTCGTGCGTGGCATTGTTCGCAATGAGGCTTGAGGCACTGGTGGTGGCTTGAATTTGTTATAACATTTGACAAGGGGAATTTTTAAAGAAGGCATTGTGTTTTTTTTTTTTTCACACCTTGCGTTGCTGTTGGTTTACACGAATTGGGGTACGATCTACACACGAGGCTAAGAACGTCTATCGAGTAACTTCATCTTGTACTATAAGTATCACCGTGGAAGGGGTAGATTCCAGAGGCTATCGCGAACAATGATCGCACCTTCCATCGATATCGACTTGAGTAGTCCAGATGCTTTGTAAAATGCCTAGTTATTTCCTGATTTTGCGATCATGATCTCGCTACAATCCGATAACTTTCAAAGACAGTATACCCATAGCGTCGGGTGGCAGACAGTGCGGAGTTTCCAAGGTTTTCGATGGTGGTGCAGCCTCCTAAGTCCTATTGAAGGACTCACTCCCCCACCGCCGCGTCGCTATCATCATTGTATCAAAGGTCCTTGATTAATTCGATTGCCCACAGGCACTTGACGCGAAATGCAATATCTTGTATTTGCATGATTTGATGAGATTTGTAAGAGCACCCCATCCACGTTCAGACGTTGTCTTTCCGCGGGTTGAATTGGATCCTCGCAGTTGGCCTTTTTCAGTAAGCTCACACTTAATGACTTTGGATTCTCACCGCTGCGCCCATCCATATGTGGCGCAATTGATGACGATCCCAAACCCTGCTGTCAGACCTATTGCAAGGCCAAGTGATAGCCTTTGTTTTCTTTCAGTCTTGTGAGAGGCCAGTGAGAGAGTTGCTCCGCATATGGTGATATCATGGCGGCCTGTGAGAAACCAGCACGCGAAAGGAATAGTCCGTCCCAATCTGAATGCGAGGGAAGCACGTTAGAGAGAAAGGTGAGGCGTCCTGGTGTCTTGCTCGGTCTAGAATATTGTGGGGAGAGATGAAAGGCCGATTTGTCGCGAATCCAAGGCTGGTCATGATCATTGAATATCGGACATGCCAACATCGTGTGTATAGATTTCGAGATGTAGATTGTGAGCTATGATCGTGTCCGAATGGCGAGACTTCGGTTTTTTTCTCCCAGTGACATCTGGATGCCACGGTTCGACGGGCTGAGGGAATTGGGTGGGTGATGAGGACTTTAGGGCGTCTTCGACGTTTCTTCCTTAGTATCTACACTACCACCAACTACCGCAGTTCGGGTGCTCTGGCCCATGTTCGTGAAGGTTGCATCATGATGGTGGATCATCGATCAGCGTTGGACGTTGAACGTACGCTTGAGATGATCATCAGCGCTAAACGCTTCACCCACCAACGGAGTTCCGTAACTGGTCAGCGAGCTCTGCCGAAAATGATAAACATCGGACGGAGCGTGACCCTGAGATTTGATCTTATCCGTTAGCTCAGGTAGGGTTCAAGGGGCGCCTGAGCTATGAAAACCTGAGGTGAGGCACGGCAACTCAGTTATTTAGCGGCGCCGGCAAACAATCAACTTGCCACCAGAAAACGGACATTTGGGGCCCTGAAAGTGCTGAAAACACATCTGTTGTTTTAGTGTCGTCATCTGACCTGCCTTTCGCCTCGATGGCGCTGTCGACGACACCAGGTCCCCTACGAATTGGAAATCCAAGGTTTGGGTCAACTGCCAGGCAGCACAACAGCGGCTGCGCGCATAATGATGATGGATGTCAAATTGGAATAGCGCTCCTTGTCTATGGTGTGTGAATCTTCTCACTCCTGGAGTTGTGGCATTTTCATCGGTATGAAGATGGCTTGGGGTCATTCGTCTTGGGAACACCGCTAGAAACATCCCGAAGAAATCTCTCATAGATCTTTGGAGTTGTGTCAAAAGTCTCCGTCTTTTGCCAGATGACACAACTAGGCGCGCGCCGTTCTCACCATACGACATTCATGACGCCCTTGACAACTCCCAGTGCGAAATCCTTCCTTCCCTCGGCCATGCAAACTTTTACAAAACCCTCGACAATGCGTACTGTCTGCTCTTGGATCCCTGAAACATGATCCTTTTGTGTAAATTGGATCGTCTCGTGGAGACACAGCACCTGAGGCAAAACGGTCTCCTTTGAGCCTGAGAGAAAGTGTTTCACGCCTTCCGAACCCTGTCCCTTCAGCGTGCTGAGAATAGCCCCAATTCAGTCAGCAAGCCTCGGCCCCTCCAAGCCGATGATCACTCGATCCACACGAAAAAAAAAAGATGAACGGCGGAACTTGAAGGTCTTCCAAGGCAACCAAGAGCCTGAAGCAATTGCTCTCTTTCATTTACGTGTGCTTTCACGAGAACTACATGTGAATGAACGCATCGATCCGCACCGTACTGCGGCAGACTACGGCCCTGTTGGTATTTCCCTGATGCCCCACGGGCCACGGCTTCCATCTCGCGGTGACAAGAAAATATCACGGACACAATTTCACCTAAAGAGGCTCTGGGCCCTGGAACTTTGTTGTGCCAGCCGCGGTGTTCAAAATGGATAATTCTCATGGAGGCGGCTATGCCTCTCCTTTCCGATTGCATCCACATTTTCTCAGCGCCCTTTGTTGGCTTTCTTTTCATGTCGTCTTGGCTGTATGAAGCCAAAGTTTGCTGTTAAAACCGATTCTTTGGGTTTTCGCTGTTCCGACGATGATCGATGACCGTTCTTGGCAAAGCGCTTCTCTGGAAAAACAACTGCGGCTAGCGTTTTCCCTCTTGCCGATGCTTATTTCTCAGACATGGGCTTCTAAATTCCCATGGAGGAGGGTAAGTAATACTTCCATATCACAGTGGGAAATTCACCTGAAAAGATTTATCAGGCAATGTTCTATATCTCGAAATCTTTGATGGTGGAACATCTAGGAAAACATATGAATATTCTGTCACATTCTTTGCTCTGGGCAATGCTCTTCTGAGAACTCTCGCGACGCAACGGCGCCGGCTTCAATCGTCCACAAGCGTCTCTGTTGATAAAGCCTCCATGTGTGTGTGCACGGCGGAATATTTTACTCCGTATGCTTTTTCTTTCGTCTTTCTTTTCCTGCACCACCTCCTGTGTTGTCCCCCTGCAGTGCTTACCATGTGCTATTAGTATCTCCCAGCCACGAAACCATTATGATGAAAGGTTATTTTTATTATTGTTTTATCTGATAATGTTGACATGGAACCCGAAATAAGCATTCATTGCTCCCAGCCTCCGTCGACGCTTCGTCCCTCATTTCACCGATATCTCGCCGACGAATGTCATCGGTTCGCAGCTTGTCAGTACTACTCGGAACTCCTATGCTTGTGGGCGAGTGTGTGAAGCAAGAAGCTTTTTCAACGGTGCGACATCCGAGTACTCCCCGACCTACGTCGGAATCTTAGTCAACGCTTCTGAATGCATCCTGTAAAAGACCGCCTCTTGAGTACTAGTCTTATCTATTCGATGTGAAAGGATTTGATTGAAGGGGGTATTGAAGGGAAGAAGTCCCTTTTAAGGGATTTGACGGCTGTCAAGTGGACACTCAGGGAGACGCCTGCAGCATCAAAATAATTCAATTGGCGTGTAAGTACTAATTAATGGTGTGGTCACATTGACAATACCTGTCGCTTTGAAACCTCAATACCACAGTGGCGAGACTTGAACTGACGATTCCCCTCAACTGCGTGTTTGTTTCATTCGAACAAGGTCGGCGTGTTTGATTGTAAAGGTCATGATAGACAATCGAATCTTGAATTCCAAAAAGAGTCGGCTGAGGTCTGCCTCATGCAGAGGAAGGATATCGTCGCGGATAATCCTCTCTCAAGCCAAGTTGCCCAAGAAACGCGACCAGGGTTGCACTGATATTCGCGGCGAATGTCCTCAGGTAAGTTGAGCTGGATTGTGACGATATCTAACAACCATTCTCATCTTTGTTCTCTAGCAACAACTGCCCCGCCGTCGAGTGTGAACTTTCCCGGCTCTGAAGCAGGAATCAGGCCGATTCAGTCGCCACACAGGTCTACATATCTTCCATTCCGGAGGATATCTCTCCCGAGTGCACCTTCGTTGGTGCACCGACAGTCTGTCGTGAGCGTTGCGTCATTTGACTCCCTCCCTGAAGATGAGGCATCGCCAAGTCTCATGAGAAACGTTAACGGCAGTAGGGGACTCAGTGGGCGACCTACATCTGTCGAGTCACCGAGACGAAGAGTCAGACGTCGTGATTCAAGTGTGAAGCCTGTCGATAACTCTCGCAGCGCGAAGCGACAAAAGGTCGTTGAAGAATTCCACGCGACAGAGAAAGCTTACGTTGATGGGTTGGAACTAATATATTCGGTGAGATTCGTACCGTAGCCCTATCTTGCTTTCTCAACTAAAGCGACTCACAGCACTTCCTCACACCAATTATCGCATCTCTTGATACCCCGGAACCTCTGCTAAATCGTTCAGCACTCACATCCATCTTTTCAAATTTCATAGACATATGGAATCTTCATCGCTCTTTTCTCTCTGCATTGACCACTCTGTTGTCTGATTCTACTGCATCGAACTCCTTCCAAGATACCCCACCACTTTCTCCCATCCTTCTTTCACATTTTCCTTACTTGTCCCTGTATACCCCCTTTGTGACCGCATTTCCATCCACGATTTCTGCCCTGAATGAACTTATCACGCCACCCACGACAACTCACCCGAACCCACATTACAACCAAACATTTGCAACATTCCTCCAGTCACAGGAAGCAGACCCTCGTTGCGGGAAACTGAAGCTGCGCGACTGGCTTTTGTCCATTGTGCAACGCTGTCCACGCTACCTACTTCTCTTGAAGGATCTGATCAACTGCACAGATCGAGACGACCCCGAACATGGCCGCCTTGTAATCGTCCATAGTCTCGTGTCAAAAAGTGAGTCAAACGCGTTTTATCTTTGATGGTTTTTCACTAATTGGGATATAGTAACCCTCTCATTGAATACATCCCTGCATACTCATGCACAGACTCTCGCCCTCCTTGCATTGCAGCGTGCCACTCCAAATCTTCCATTCCAGCTCATTACCCCTGGACGCACCCTCCTTAAGCGTGGCCCCCTCCTCCAAATGGAGCGGAGTGAATCACCTAAGGAGCGTGAATTTCTCCTGTTCTCTGATTGCATTGTGTGGTTGGCGCCCGCGGACGCCTCAGATACCTCATGGGACTGGAGTAAGACGAGTGCGCCTGCCATGGCTAGGACTAGGAGTAAGAGTGAGGCAGAGCTTCCGACATTTAATCCGTCATCAGCGGACGTGTCCTCTTCAAAACCGGTCACACCCAGCAAACCTCAACGCAAGTCATTCCAGCCACCACTCCATAGCCCCATAAAACGTAACACAAGCGCGGAAGAGCGGTGGGTGTATAAAGGACGTGCGGAGCTCGTGGATTTAGAGGTGATCATTAGCCCTGACGAGTTGGGGAGACTCGACCTTCTTGGCCCTGAAGGGAGTTTCGTTCTATATGCTGGCACCGATGAGGAACGAGACGATTGGGGCTCTGAAATTCGGCAAGCTAAAGCCCAGTTGCTCGTGTCGTTGAACATCACCAACCCAAACTCGACGCTCACTTCATCGACTTCCACAAATCATGTTCGCCGTTCATTACAAGCTCTCCCCTTTCCACTGACCGACGACCGACTTGGAACTGTGCGTGCAAGTGGCGACAGCAGTCAAAAGGGGAAGAAGGCCAAGGACAACAAGAAGGAGCGACGGGGCAGGGTGGAGCATTGGGTTCCAGCAATCTGGATTCCAGATGGCAAAACGGAAGGGTGCATGCGCTGCGGAAAGATGTTTGGATGGCGGAGACGGAGGCATCACTGTCGACTTTGCGGACGATGCGTCTGTGCTGCTTGTTCAGGAAGGGTGAGTACTCCATCTTCCCGCTTCGCACAGTGCTAATGGGATTCCAGACATTCTTCATCTCAGACTCGAACTCTAAAAACGAATTGAGTAAACCCGCACGTGCTTGTGACGCGTGCTACGATACCGTTTTCCCCCTTCTCGACCCACCCTCTCCAGAAAAACGCTCTTCAAATCTGCCTGAAAATTCAACAGACACAATTACCTCTTTATCGAGCCTCCCGTCATGGGTATCCATGCCCGCACTCCCTGTGGACAAGCAACCACAGGCACTGATGGCATTGGACCTCACACCCAGCCGCGATGCCTCATTCGATGGTGACGCCACTGCGGATGATCGAGAGAAGAAAGGGAGACTCCGGTTACGACCGCACCAGAGACTGAGGAGTTATCATCAGATTTTAGAAGATTTTGAGGAGCAGGCGAGGCTGCAGGGCGAGAAAGGAGAGGAGGAGGACAATGAGGAAGGCAACCATGAGGAGGAGGGTGAAGAAGCTTGGTTTACCCCTACGCCTTCCTTGGCTTCTTCCCCAGCCTCTTCGCCGCGCAAGGCGAGACGAGAGGACACGGCCAGAAGGAGCAAACGATTCTCCCTTCCTGCCATTGCATTGCAGAACACCAGCGTTACAGCACGTACGACGATTGATGCTGGGGATGCAGGGGACACCAGTGTTACGGCTTCTCCTACGAAGGAGGCTGCGGGGACACCTGGCAGGTCGAGGAGGTTCTCACTGATGCTCTCCGGGAGGCGTGAAAGTGGGAGTGGGCTGGGGCAAGGCCAGGGCGAGTTTGAAAGTTTGAGCGACTTCAGGTTGTCGAAGGGTGTTGCGGCAAACAAACTCAGTGAGCTCCTGAGTCGGAATTCGAGGGTAAAGGCATAAGGGTGCTGTCTGGTAATGAACATTGTACTTCCTTATAATAATACTTTTTGTATCTGTATAACTAGCGTGTAGAGGTATGTAAATCGAATAGCCAGTCTTTGATAATTCATCGTAGTACGAACAAAGGGGAGCAGGTGATAGAGACAAGGAAAAGACAGAGTCGTTTCGCTTGGGACCTTCGTGTTCGGCTAGGGACAAGGACTCTAACAGTGGAAAGCTTCCAATGGTCGCAAGCGGTCAAGAGAACAGAGATTCTTCATGTCAACCATTGGTGCTGCTGGCTTTGATAAAGGGTGAGTCAACACATACGTATTTACAATGCGACTGCAGAACTTACTTTGGCTATGGCAGTAGTCCTTTGCGAGGGCTCCTTCTCTCCAGGATGCAAACCAAATCGCGGAGACAACGCGTGACTGTGCTTGATTGAATGTCTGCCTGTTATTAACCTCGCCAGATTTCATATGTTCGGCGGAGCAACTTGTCTCGGACCCAGTCGACCGCTGGGTCAAAATGAGGAGCATTTCTGTCAACGTTCTGCAATGGCTAACCTGAAGGCAAGTCAGGTATGCCTGTTTTGATTTCTTGTTGGACATTCTTGCCTTGGTCAAGAGGAAACCCGCAGGCGGAAAGGCTTGAACTTGTGGCAACGAGTTGCGGTTGACGCTTTTCGTTCTTGGTAGCGCTGTTGAGATGGTCCACGAGGAGGAAGGGGAAACGTCAAATGTGGTTGACTGTCTCGGTTGTTTGTAGCCCTATGTTTGCCTTTGAAAGCTTCAACCATCAACGACAAGACAACTTGAACCTTGACGCGAGCTATACCTCTCAAGAAGCCGCGTCAATTGCACTTCATAGCCCAAGCTCCCATGCGCTACGAATCCTTTCAACGCTTTGGGGAGTTGAGGCACTTGAAATTGAACTCATTCGTCAAGTCCGGTAAGGAACGGTAGTGTGAACTGAAGGGCATGAGGTGGTTGTGCTCCTGCAAACGAAGTAAGGGGAGGTCTTGTTTACGATGACAACCTGGCAAAGTGTAAGGCAATAATCAAGCGAGTAATAATGCAACTGACCTTGCATTTGCTATAGCAGTGGCCCACCATGAGCTTCGCGCACTCCTTCGTCACCAAAGCGAATGTAGGGTAGCCGACAATGCTAGATCTTGAGTTTATATATTCGCCCAATGAAATTGGGAGTCGCAAGTTCAGACTCCGGAAGCCGGCCGCCCCTGACGAGGACGAGGACATTGGCATTGCTTTCCCTTAACATCCGCCAGCGGAGCCTGAGGACAACTTCGGTTATTACCCGTTTGACTCCCTCGTTGGTAACTTCTGGCCGGTGTCCGGGAGCGGTGTCTGCAGGTGAAAAGTTAGTACGATCATATCTCAGGAGAGGAGAGGACACGTACGTGTCCTCGACTCCTTCGTCTCAGAACCCAAGATCCGAGGATTCTTTATCAACCCGTTCTTAACAATTACATTGCGGATGTTTCGATTGTGAAGCGCGGGTTTCGTTGACCCGGACACCACGATTACGCCTGGTCATCCTGAGGTGTTTGTTGAGCAGGACGCACTCTCCATTCCTTATTTTCAATCGCAGTTCTGAAGTTTCTCGGATCTCCTTTCCCCAGCGTGTTTCAAATGGATGTCGAGCAGAATCAAGCGTTGTCTTCAGGCTTGATTAAAGGTAATTTGAACAATGGGGGTCGACGCAAAGATAGTTGTTACTCACAATAAAGTCTTGTTTCCCGACTTTCTAGTGATGAAATCCCATTCATGTTTTTGGTCAGCCTTGAGGCCTTCGTCGGTAGTTAGCCAAGTATCACTGTAATGATTATACCACTCACCTCGTGGACGTTCAAGCGCTGCTAAAGGAAACTGACAGTTTTCTAGACCCAAGGGTCGGTATAGAAGAGCCGTTTCATCGAGGATCAGATTGGGACCCTCTACAGTGAATTCTGGAGAGGTTGATGGTGGCGGAGTAAACAAGAAAAATTGCTTCAAGCCCCAGGTGTCCGATGTAAGGGACAGGGTTAGTATACAAATCACGCGCACCACGACTGTTTACGGAGGCTGGTCCTCTACGCCTGACATTTCCCCATTTTATTCCCCATTCCAGAACTTCCACCCTGCAAGGCTAGTTTCTGCCAGGATTTCCTCACTACTGAGGTCTCGTCGCTGCGGGCTTTCGAGGATGGCTGTTGTGAACTACAAAAATGTTTGTCACATCAACGTCAAAGAAACAAGTGCAGCCGAATGGAACATAAAGGTACCTTGAGTACCGGCTCATCTTCCCTGGAAACGCTCAAACTTTTCAAGGCTTCAAGAACCTTTTCCGGTGGGTGAGGAAGGTCTATGTAACCACCCAAAAGCTGCAGACATGCGCCAGCCACGCCTGTGCTAGCTATATCATTGTCCCACTCAAAGTAATTCGACAACTTCAGGCCATCGGTGATGGCTGCGGCGTTAGTTGGGCTGCTAAGGACATGAAGCGCCTTGGATCGACCCGACAAAAGAGAGGCAGCGAGGAATGATCGTCGGTCTGATGGCCCGTCTTCAAGATACGCTCCCACTTTATCCCCAAAGTCAACAAAGAATACTTCACCAAACGTTGCAGCTGGTCGCTCTCGGGACCAATACACAGTCGGTAGTGATTCATCGGCTTCTGCATGGCGCGCAACGAGGAGAACGCTGTCGATGTCGCGGGGATTGGAGCGCGATACTTCGAAAAGGAAGTCACTCAGGCCGCAAATGGTCGCAATATTGGGATCCTCTCGAAAGAAGTCAAGGAATGGGTGATTGGTGGTCGCGGTGGCATCCGTCGAACGGAACGAGGAGCGGATGGCTTCAAGGACGGGGTCGTCGTCGTAGTGGTCTCCGTTCATACTTCAAATTGTGTGCACAAAGGTGATCGTGGTTAAGTGTTCTGGATGCCCGAGCCGATTGTTCGTCATTCTTCTCAAAAAGGCTGTACTTGCCCCTTTGAGGATATTAGTGCTCTTGAGCGCTTGGTTCGACTTAGCAACGTGGCACACTTGGTGGACCCCTCCGAGTCGGTTCTGGGTATCTCTCGTAACTTGCCAACGTCTTGTATCTTCGTCCATTGGTCTCCAACCAAGATGATCGGCGTTTTGCCTGACAATTACTGAATTAGTCTCCCACAACGAAGATGATCGGCGTTTTGCTCGACATGCATGTTCAGTCTACCTTCGGCGTATGCCTGGCGCTCGAATTTTTGTTAAAAGGTGCAGGTCAATTCGCAGATACCTTGGGCTGGTCTCCAGGCGTCCTTTGTAGTGCGTGCCATCCATCCCCCGTTTTCAACCTCACCACCCTTCTTCTTTAGAATTCTTTGAAGCTGGTCTTCACGATCCGATTCACGACATTTACAAGGTACGTGTCCAACCGACTGGTCGTTATATAAAAACCCTCACCCACAAACAGACATGACACATTTCAATCGGATCTTTCTTTCCTTTTCGACTCTGCTACTATTTGGGCTTTTCTGTAATGCCAGACCCGTGCTAGAAAAGCGTAGGTCCACTGCACGGGAATTGTTCGACACTCGCAGTCATACCCCTCCAGCCTTTGGCCAACCAATCACAAACGTACGCTCACCCATTGTTCTGCAGTTGTGCCTGCTCATAATTTATTTATCAGGTCGCATTCAACCGCCAATCACTGCCGGGTGAGGGCAGGCTTGAGGTGCGCACACCCGAGTTCTCAGCCCCCGCCGGACGCCTGAAAAAGGGGTTCAAGAACAAGACCCAAGCTCGCAAGGCGAGGAAAGCACTCGGCGAGGCCCGTCCTACGCCCAAGCCAGGTTTTGGCCATAACGGCTTGACCAAAGGTCCGGCCTGTATCAACGGCAAGAGGAACAAATGCAAAGAAGGGGGTGCCACCTCATTAGCGGCGGCGAAGAACGCCAAACAACGACCTGTTGCCTTGTCTCTTACTGCAAAGAAAGAGAAGGTCGCGGATCGGAAGGGTAATCGACAGATGGCTGTCAAAATCAAGCACCAAAACTTCGTTAAAAAACAAAACGTCGGCCAGCCGAACCAGAAGCTTCAGCAATGGAAGATTGACCCGAAGACTCATGTCGCTCAACGTGCCAAAACTGCTAAAGAAATCAAGAAGAGTTGGAACGGGAACAAGAAAATCCGAAAGGCTTACTACAAGAAATTTGAGAAGACGGGCCCTTCCTTGGCTGCCAAGAGCCAACGACTCGCAGAATCGGTGCTTCTCAAGGGAAAAGATCCCAAGAGAGAGCAGTATAAATTGGCCAAAGCTGCATATGATGCTTCGATAAAGACTGGAACTTTCCCCGATCGCAAGGCAACCTTCAAGACGCCCCTAGATGGTAAGTCTTTTGCAACATTCTAAGGTTCAGGTTTCCTAAAATATACGATATGATTTGTAGGAGTTTACAAGGGCAAGGATGTTCGACAAGCTCTTTTCAACGCGCATTTACATGATCAACCTGGTAAAAAGGTTGGCCACACTGTGGACGGCAAGGTCGAGAAGTCCGATAACCGGAAACATCCCAAAGTATTTCAAAACGCTGCTAATCAAGGGCAGGGTAAGACTGTTCCACTGCCTTGGATGACGGGGAAAGGCAGGGAGTATACCATGATGCCAGATCATGCTTTGGGCCATCACGGGATAAGCCCAAACCCGACCGCTACGCGGCTCATCACCCAAGAACAAAATGGTGTTCATAAGTTCGAGGGCGTTGTTTCTCATCCAGCGAAGAACTCTAAGGATCACGTCGAGGTTCTTCATGATAAAGTTGATTGGGCGTATCATCTTAAGCCTTGGCCAATCAAGTAAATTGATCTTGATGTCAGTAGTCAGTAGTCACTAGTCACTGTTGTGATATCATCGAACCAGTGTTCCAAGATTTATTAGTAGTTCAGTTCAAATCTAATATTGTGTGGTGCCGGTGTCGATACTTAGCAGTTTTGTCTTCTTTCGGTTTTTTAGAAAGCCTCGCGGTGCCCGGTGCAATGTATGAAGCTTGAAGGAAAAGGCTTGAGCTCACTCAGGTACATAGAGTCTAGATCAGAGACCAAAGACCAAAGACCGAACTTATTGTAAGCACGCGTACTGTTGCGAGTAAAAGAGGGTTTGTTACAAGGCTAGTAGTACAATTCAGGTATGTAGGAGGTACAGCGAGAGTTTACATAAATCATTCCAAATCAAAAACCACAAGCTCAGCAACTCGGTCGCCCACGTTCTGAACCTCCAAGACGGCACCCTTCTTCTTAACGTCCACGTAGGCCCCGTCCCCCTCTCTCAACTCCACCTCATCCCCGCCCTTTGTGCTAAACTTGACGCTGGCGCCGGCCGCCTGGCGCTCGTTATAACCGCTCGTCTGGATAACATGCACATAGGCCTTCTTGCCCTCCAAAGGCCGGCTGAGTGCATTTCCCGTCCCAAGGATCGACGCGTAAAGAGTCAGCGCGCTCTGTACCGGGGCTGGACCCTCGCCCTCCCTGGTATCCTTAACGCCATCCGCCCATACGGGCGCGACTACCTTGGCCCACTTGTCCGTCTTCTCTTCGTCACTAAAGTGCCGAGTGAAGTACTTGGGCTGAAGACGGGCTGTGGCGGGGAGGGACCAAATCTGCAAAAGGTGGACTTGGTTGCCTCCACGTGCTTTTTCGGAATGGGATATGCCAGTGCCGGCGGAGGTGAGTTGGAGGTCACCGCGTTTAAGGATCTCGGTATTGCCCATGGAGTCTTTGCTGAGGTGATTGGATTAGATAGGGTGGCGAGGTAGATGGAGAAAGCTACGTACTGTTCGACTTCTCCGGAGACGATGTATGAGAAAATTTCGAACTCGCGATGCGAGTGGGTTCCGAACCCTGTGCGGGGCGCAACTCGGTCTTCGTTCATTACGCGCAGAGGTCCGAAGAGCTCGTGCTTATGATCTTGATACCTGAAACAACGAATTAGAATTTAGACGTGATAAAGGGAAAAATAAATGGCGTACGTAGCAAATGAGAAGGTGTGGAAAGCTTTGAGCCAACCGTGATCGGCGTTGCCTCGTTCTTCGCTCTTCCTGGGGGTAAATTTCAACGAACTCATGCTGTCCGCGACAGTAGATAGATTATTCGAAATAGCTTCGAGGTGTTGGCCACGAAGGTTGGCTTTAGCAAGTCTGAATAGTGCGGCCAGGTTGGGAATGAGCCGGTTGAGGTAGACGACGACGATTATATAGATGGGGATGAGAGCGATGTGAAAGAAAAGACAGCATTTGGGTTGCATGACAGAGCCCCAAGACCGGACTGTAATACATAGGGCGGCATCGTCAGCATCCTCGAAATGATGGAAGCAAGATTTGAAGTTGATTTGAAGTCAGCTTTCCTCTTTTGTGTCGCGACAACTCACGTAGACACGTGGTCACCAAACTTGCACCAAACAATGACAAACATTCCCTTGTTATTGAGAAAACTTCATGCGCGTCGACATAATCCAAGTCTAAGTACCATTGGATAGCACGCTAATAACATTTCTGCGCTTAGTCCAAACACTAATTTTACCCAGGAAAGGTCGACCGCAAGAACTTCGGGCCTCCAGCCAGCGTTCAATGCCAGAACGACGAGAAAGCCAAACCTCGTTGAGGTTCTTGCGTTTTTTTCTGTCTCGTTGAGAATTGAGTCGGTCCGTCGCCCGCAGTGACTGAGCGCATGAGGCAGGAGGCGGGGGAAAAGGAGGGAAAGGGTGAGGATGGCGGGGCAAACGGGTTGATAGAGAAGATCGGGCCCGGGGGGGATGCCTTCGTCAAAATTGTCGTAGTTGAAATTGCAGACTCCCATATTTCCACGACCTTAGGATTTTAAAGTGGGCGAGATGGAAATGAAGGAGCCATGCTATGAATTTTGGTTGATACTTACACAGGTTTTTAGAGTTGAGGTACGGGATTGGGATATTACAGTTTGGATCTAACGTTTATAATCTTTTTCATAGAGACACAACTTCATCGGTCAGTCATTTAATTTCCATGAGTCTCCATTTGTGATGTGTTAGGAGTTGTGCAAGCTCACAAACGTAGCTTATCATCATGACGTTCCCATAGCTCATAGCAGCGAGTAACAGCAGCACTGTTACAACATTACTCACCCTCTAGACCTCATGACCTTCGAAAATATCTGAAAGTTGGCGGCGGCAGGTCCCGAGCGACCATAAACGGCAAACACAACTTGCGAGAACCATCCCTGAAATTCTGATTCGAGGAGAATTGACTTCATCTGCTCTGCAACTAACCGAGGGGGGCAACGGTATGCACCGCACCCCATAGCACCTGGATTTAAGATGAATACGGCGTCTTACCCGTGGTCATAGAAATAAAACCTACCAAGAACAAGATATGTCTGCCTATTATGTCCAGCGATACGATAAACCAACCTGATTTTCCCCTTCAAGTCTTCCAGGTCTGATTCATTCTTGAACCCCAGCTCATCTTCTGTAAGTTTTGGCCCGCGGGGGGCAGCAACAGTGATGACCGAGACGACGCGCCTGTCTGCCTCTGGAAGGTCCACGCAGTTGTGGTCAAGATCGTCTTTGAAGATGACAACCCCAGGAGAATAAATCCCAGCGACTGAACCTGGGCCGAGGTTCGGCCATGGGTAATACGACTTTTTCAAAGTCTCGTATAGGGTGGACGAATAACAAAGTGCTTCCTCCTAATCCGAAGTAAATGACGTCATTATAGCTATCAAGCGAATGTCTACGTACCTGAGTCTTCGAAAGACTATGGATCCATCCACCCCCGGGAAGTTGATCACTGGCCAGATTTAAAACAGTTGTTTTCCCCTGGGCTTCTGGGTTGTCCTTCATAATGTCCCTCGCAGCAGTGAAGGAATCCGAGTCCAAGACCGTCATCCCTCCCCACATTAGCTTCGGACACGCATCTTGGTCGAGCGGCGGCAGCTCGTCCCCAGAAATGAATCTTGAGTCAGCGGTAGCACCTTGATCTTGGTGCTCGGATATGATGGCGAGGGTGCGATCAAGGGTATCCTGCGCTATCGTCTGCCGCTGGGCCAGTTCTTGTTGACGTTCCGTGAGCGTTCTTTCGGATGTAGCCTTGGGACGTCGAAGAATGCTGGAGATGAACCTTGGAGCCATAGGTGTGAGATCTAAGTTAGGAGGAGTCTGACCAAAAGTGTTTGTGAGATCTAAGGTATTTGGACTTACTCAGTTACTGTAATGTTAGGGAATACGGGCTACCCCTAGCTGCTGAATTTCTAAGTCGAACTGATAAAATGGAAGGAACACGTTGAAACGAAAGTCTTGCGATGACGAAGTGATGGCTGTGGGTATTTGTCAACGTTTTAACAACTTCCAAATCTTGTCACGATTGGTGATTTTATGTCTTGTTCGCGTCACGGAAAATCAGAGAACACCCCACTACAAAGTCTTATTTCATGACGAAAAAGATAAATGGAATAGTGATGGCTTGGGCTGGGCAGCTTCTGGGTGGTTACGGCGGCCTGGGGACCACGTATCTGTGTGACCCGGAACAGGTTCTGGAAGCCTTGAAAAAATTGAGGGTCTCTGAGGAAGACGAGCCACTGCTCAAGGTACCTCCCATTCAGCTGCCCTTGTTTCTTGAATTTCAACATCTTTATAGTTCACAATCGCTACCCTCGAAAACCCGCAGCGACGCGACCTTGAGTAGTGAGGACGCGGAAACTAGCCTTGCAGGGTGGAAGTTCTGGAATGGGGAAGTGTCAGGCGTGAAGAAGTCTCGATAGCCCTCCTTCAGACAGTTGCGATTTGTATAAATGTTGTTCGCAAAGCAGAGCGGCGTGCAGAACAGTTGGCGTACATAAATAGCCATGCTTTTATCTAACTTTGTTTGCTCTGCCATCTTGACTTTTTCTCCGCCTCCCACCCCACGCGCTCAGCCAGTGCGGACGACGGACCCACTTGTTTCTCGATGAATCGACAACAAAACCCAGAGACCTCTTCAGCTTACGCGTCGTTCAAGCAAAGCAAACTGGCCGGTCAGAGGTTGGTCGGAGGCCCAAAGTTTTTTTTTTTTTTCGTCGACCTTTCCTGGGGAAATCCTAGTCTTGGAGGCGGCCTAAGAGTGCACAGAAATGCCACTACCGGTGTGGATTATACACCCATGGTCTTCGAGCTCAGTAAGCAATATTCAAGCAACAGGGGAATTTTCGGAGGGGCACGTGTCTACGTGGGTTGTCGCGACACAAAAGAGGAAATCTGACTTCAAATCTTGCTTCCATCATGTCGAGGATGCTGACGATGCCGCCCTATTTATTACAGCCCGGTCTTAGGGCTCTGTCATGCGACCCAAATCCCGTCTTTTCTTTCACATCGCCCTCATCCCCGTCTATATAATCGTCGTCGTCTACCTCAACCTCATTCCCAACCTGACCTCACTACTCAGACTTGCAAAAGCCAACCTTCGGGCCCAACACCTTGCAGCTATCTCCAACTATCTATCTACTGTCACGGACGGCATGAGTTCCTTGAAATTCACCCCTAGGAAGAGCGAGGAACGAGGCAACGCCGATCACGGCTGGCTCAAATCTTTCCACACCTTCTCATTTGCTATGTACGCATCTTTTTTTTCTTTCTTTCCTTTTATCAAGTCAAGATTCTAATTCGTTACTTCAGGTATCAAGATCATAAGCACGAGCTCTTCGGACCTCTGCGCGTAATCAACGAAGACCGAGTTGCGCCCCGCACAGGGTTTGGAACCCACTCGCACCGCGAGTTTGAGATTTTCTCATACGTCGTCGCCGGCGAACTTGAGCAGTACGTCTTTTTTATTCATTCCTCTCGTCCATCTATCTTACGCACCCAACCTCAGCAAAGACTCCATGGGCAATACCGAGGTCCTCAAACGGGGTGACCTTCAACTCACCTCTGCCGGCACTGGCATATCCCACTCCGAAAAAGCCCATGGAACCAAACAAGTCCACTTTTTGCAGATTTGGTCCCTCCCTGCCACATCCCGTCTGCAGCCCAAATACTTCACTCGGCACTTTACCGACGAGGATAAGACGGACAAGTGGGCCAAGGTCGTAGCGCCCGTATGGGCGGATGGCGTTAAGGATACTAGGGAGGGCGAGGGTCCCGCCCCGGTACAGAGCGCGTTGACTCTTTACGCGTCGATCCTTGGGACGGGCAAGGCGCTCAGCCGGTCTTTGGAGGGCAAGAAGGCCTATGTGCATGTTATCCAGACGAGTGGCTATAACGAGCGGCAGGCGGCCGGCGCCAGCGTCAAGTTTAGCACAAAGGGCGGGGACGAGGTGGAGTTGAGAGAGGGGGATGGGGCTTATGTGGACGTTAAGCAGAAGGGTGCCATCTTGGAGGTGGAGAACGTGGGCGACCGAGCTGCTGAGTTGTTGGTCTTTGATTTGGAGTGATTTGAGGATATTTTTGCTGTACCCCTACATACCTAAACTGTATCCATAGCCTGGTAACACTTCTTTTGAACTGTGAGCAACAGACTTCGATTCAAAATGAGTCATTTCTCAGGTTGTTCTTCCCGCTGCTGCTATCCTATCCCCCATTGTTCGCGGTGTCTGGCCAGGGACCTTGACATTCAACAACTATCAACAACTAGTCACGAGGGCACGTTGAAGATCAGAACCGTAACGACCAAATCCGCTCAAAACTTCCAAAGGCCATGGACTCTCAAGGAGTGGTTCACATTTCACAAAGATTTGCTGCGGGTTCTTTGCTTTGAAATCGAAGGCTTCTTTACATTTTTTTTCTACTACCAACTTCCAAGTAAAACGCGGGTCTCTACTAGCCGTGCTGCGCAGCGCCGCTATGGCTCACTAAATTTTAAACACCAACAGCGGGTAACATTTCCCGCGATGTCTCCAATTCAACTCACTCATTGGCAAACAGAATTCTCCTTGTTTGATTGATATACGGACGATGGTGAGTCGCCGGACAGCCTCCGGAGCCAACGCACAGGAAATCCGAAAGACACAAACATCTGTCGTTACGAGGCTGATTTTCGATAGCGAGCCGGCCACTTTACACCGCCAGACGTTTAATAACCTCCGATTTTGAAAAAGAGCATCCGATTTCGAAGGAACCAAGCAACATCCAAGACTTTGTAACGAGTCTGTGAAAGTGACATGGACAACTTGAGAACTCCCTTTGGGCGAACCATCGTTTAGGGTAAGCAATTTACACTCTATTGAAAGAACCATAAACTCATTGGTGGATGTTGCAGTTCGGATTCGTTATTGAACGCAGCAAATTCGGTCCCCTTTGAGAGTTTGGACCAAGTTTGGACTGTGAATCGGCACATTCTCCGCTGCGTGCAACTGCTCAAACACGCGGTGGGTGGAGCAGCTGCGCACCTCACTCTTCTTCGGACCCGCCGGATCACGCATTGAAAAACTGCAGAATCTCTGGAAAAGGAGGCGTGACCCGAGGTATGATCATTGAGTATCACGAATTCTGAAATTTATTGACACTGCAACTCACAGATCTTAACTTTCTCATTCTCTACTTCAAATTCGCCACGCAATCGAGGTAAGCCGCCAACCGTGTCTTTTTTCTTGAAGAATATTTGAGACTTGCGGCATATCGCAGTTTATACTGGAAACAATCAAAATTCTTGACCCGCAGTAATTCGCGTCGCGAGAAGCATCAAACATTGACCTGGGCGGATTCTACGTTTCAATAGGTCACTGCGGGCTTGACCCTGTATGATGACCATTCCGAAAGCATTTCGGCATGAACAGTTTCTCCCGAAAATTCCGACTCAAGTTGGGGATGCATGAAGGATTCTATATAAAAGCGCCTCACTTCTCCAGTTCAAAATCATCAAACAAAACCTTCACTCCTTCCTCAAAACCAAGCCACTACTTCCATAACTAAGCTCGAAAATGCATTCCTTCAATGCAATTGTCACCGTCCTCATGACCGCCCTGCTCGCATCCACCCAAGCGGTACCTCAAGGCCAAGCGGCGCCTAAAGCCCAAGCGGCGGCGGCTCAAGCTTGCTGGAAATGCCCATCCGATCAAGGACAGTTCAAGTTCCAACAGCAGGCTGGAAGCGACCCACTCCACTGCCAATTCTTGAAAGACGGAGTGGTTTATTATTGTGATTACAAAGTGGTACGCAGCGATTCACCGCACTCTTACCACCATATGCTTATTGATGGCCTTGACTAGGCTGACGGCACGTTGATCTACAACGCCATCGACGCTTTCTGCCCCGCCAGTGCGATTCCTTGCTAAATAGTTACGCGAAGCGCGTATGCGCTCCTGGTCCGAAGTTGGTGAGTAGTTAACGTGTCGCTTGCCTAGATTTTTCTGACCAAGTTTACGTGACGAATTTGCGGTTACTTTAGATTATTATTTTTGAAGTTTCTAATCAATATAAATTCGACCACCTACGGACCTCAAATACTCTCGCCTTGTTCTGTCGTTAATTATAAAGCTAGAAACGGACTACAGATATGCAGATTTTCTTATGTATTTGACCAGCAGGATACTTGGGAAATATGTATGAGAAGGAGGAAGCACTTTGTTATCCATCCACCCTGCACGAGAATTTGAAAGAGTCGTGCTAATTACCCATGGCCGAACTTCGGCCCAGATTCATTCGCTTGGATTAATTTTCCCGGGGTTGGTATCATCGACAAAGATGATCTTGACCGCAACTGCGTGGATTTTCGAGAGGCATTTAAATGCTGTAGCTAGCTCGCAACCAAGCTTCACGGCGACAGGAATCATATTTCAGGCGTACATTTAATTCATGGCTAGCAAATAGCACAACAAGACAGAAAGAAAAAACGTGAGCTGGGCCGTTTAAATGATGTTTTCCTTCTGATCACTCCCGAATTCATGTTGGGCAACGTAAAGTACTGTTCAGTAAAAATTTCAGTAATGAACGCCAAGGTTATGCAGCTTTAATAAATCCCAACGTGCCTGTCCCCGAATTTGGGGAAGAAAGGGTGATAGTTGTACCTTTATCGACGCGGGCAACGTCGCCAGGCTCCAAGACTGAGATGCCTCCAGGTTTGGCCGCATCTTCCAGGGATACCTCGCCTACGGATGAATGCGGCTATCGTCAGTCCAACTTTTCCCTTGAAAGCAGTACCACAAACCTTCTGTGACAATGACATATACATTGCCTGGTACCTTGGCAGCCGTCCCTCCACTGTCGTGCTTGGTGATTACCGCAATGCCGAAAGTGAAGGGGGGTCCATCAGCTTCATTGCCAAATATATCGCGGTGGTGCAGGCCATTTTTCAAATGTTGAAGGGTAGAAACGTTCGCGGATGCTTTCTTGACCACCTGCCAAAGACCGTCAGAGATGTGTTGAACATAAGAATCATTGTACCAACGGAGACAGGCATTGCAGCGACAGTTCAAGTTCAGAGCAGGGATCTTCTGATGAACGGCTTGTCAAAGAGGTTTTTATGCATTCGGATTGAAAAATTGTTGCGTTCCTTTCGCAGACGTGTGTGCGTCGCAACCCCAAATTCGTAGGATGGTGGGATGAAAGTGGGATAACCTCTATGTGGCGGTTATCTAACGGGGCCTTGTGATGCCGTGTTTGATAGGATTGTCTGGTGACTGGTGCAGATTGAAACAGATAAGGACCAGCTGCACTGAGAATTTTAACTCAGTATCCCATGACCGTATCTTTTGCCATTTGGGAGTGTCCAATAAAAGGAATCGACCTTCTCAGGTACAAGTAAAACGCCCCCTGCACATGCAACGACATGAGAGGAGATTGGCCAACGACGTCATGAAAAGCCTAATTGACAAATAACGTTATCAGGGTAAACGACCGCAGTTCCGGATCGACTGCGAGGGCGATAATGCAACTGCCTGGAGGATTGGAGGAGTAATGGCGCCTGGGAAGGTCAATTCCGTCATTTGTAGCTTGTTTGATGTGGGAAATTGACCTATCGACAAAAAAAAATGAGCGCGTTGACGATGAAAGACTAAAGTTAGTTGCGTCGTTTTTTACAGTGGATTTCTGTGTGCAGGAAGCCGACTTTCAGATCAGAGGAAGAGTCGATGATGTCGGTAGCTCACTAGAGGAAGGCAAGACATGAGAGGAGGTGACTTGTATTTCCACAGAAAAAGACGAGCAGATGGACATCTTGAGTCACTTGGCCTAAGATGACGCAAAAAGGGTTAGTTGCACATCTTTGAGACGATGCAGGATTGACCTAATATCAAAGCTGCCACCACAGACGCTCAAGCTTCAAGGCCGATATACTTTGAAAAAAGGCATTGGTGAGTCGGAGGCGCGAGTTGAAGAAGAACGAGATAGTATACTGTATCGGAGTCGTTCGCATTCCATTATGTAGTATCGAACTTGACAGGAATAACATATGACGCCAGATATGCGCTCATCGCAGTGGACCCAAGTAAGTTGCAACTTGAAGTAAGTCAAGCCCTTTACGGTTGCCTGAAAGCTGCCCAGTGAGCGATGATGAAAGTAATTCGGCAACTTCCGCTCAACCAGAATTCAACTTCAAGTGCTCATACTACTCACAATACTCAACGCAAGAAGTAATCGATAATCTCTCTCCGGCTTGAAACTCGCGATACAAAGGCGACTAGAAACTTCAAGCCTTCAATCTGGCTTCATGTTTGGAATCACCGGGACCAGGACAGCCTCAAAATCCTTGAAAATTGTAGCTCGAAGCCACCACATCGCCTCAAAGAGTGTGAAAGACAAACTGCGAGCCCTTCTACGCGAAACTGCGAGCCCGTCGCCGTCGTCACGTCCTTCATGCAACCCGACTACTCCAGTATCTCGCACACCTTTCATAGCGCGACTTGTCGTCATTCACGTCCATAGCAATGGACCCATACCCCCTCATTGCATTTGCCCTGCGCATGCCTTCTCGAATGGCATATTTGCTTGACGCAGCACAGCCAGACCAAGCATCCCACATGGTTGTGAACTTGCTCTCTGCGGAGCAAGCCTCCATTTCTGTCAAATTTCAAGACCGGACTTGTACCCAGAACCATTCTCTTCGATACCTTATTCGCTTTCGGAGGAGGGTCTGCCGATAATCGATGATTCGTTGGGGGCGATATCTTGTAAACTGGTTTCAAAGGCCATCCCCCTACACGACTTGGAATTGTTGGAGGGGTAGAGCAGAGAGGAAATGATGAATTCCCCGCTCGAAGATTGTCCGTCTTCAAAGCTCTTCATTGCACGTGTCACACGTGTCACACGTGTCGAGAGTTCGCCGAGCGACCACGATGGCAGTTTACCGTTGCTCTACCATCGACGACAATACACGAGTTGTCAAATACCACCTTGTTCGCCGGCTATGGACACATATATTTCTTTCTAGTAGATACACAAGGTGAGTTATATTTACATCTTTTCACATTTGAACTAAACATAAAGTACACTTCTGCCAGCGCTTCTCGTCGAATCGCCTACCACAGTAAGTCTGCTCTACCGCTGGACGAATTACTAGTGTCCCATTTCACATCTGAACACAATCAATGGACCGCTAGTCAGCTGATCGTCTATCTATATTGAAGCAAATTCATCCAACTATGACATGTAAGAGCGTCCTTAGTCTTTCGAAGACTCAAGTGGGTAGACGCTCGTTTCAACGATAGCTACGATGACGTCATCTACTTGGGATTAGGAGGAAGCACTTTGTTATTCATCCACCCTGTACGAGACTTCGAAAGAGTCGTATTACTCATATCCGAACCTCAGCCCAGATTCAGTCCCTGGGATATATTTTCCTGGGGTTGCCATCTTCAAAGACGGTCTTGATCACAATCGCGTGGGTCTGAGTGGCGCGTCGTCTCGGTCATCAGTGTTGCTGCCCCCTACGGACCGATACTTGAAGAAGATAAGCTAAGGTTCAAGAATGAATCAAACCTCTCAAAATAAGTATTGAAGGTTATAAGAGGTTATAATGTCAATACGCTTGTCAAACTGTCAGGTATATCATATCGTGGTCCTTATTCGACGGTGTTCCATGTGATGGTTGTGTGATCGTGCATTCAATTGCTGTAGCTAACTCACAACCAAGCTTCATGGCGATAGGACAACGATAAAAATGATATTTCAGGCGCACATTAAGTGCGTGGCTAGAGAATAGCACAACAACACAGAAAGAGAAAACGTGTGCTGGGCCGTTCAAACAAGATGTTTCTTCTGGTCACTCCCAAATTCATGTTGGCCAACGTAATAGGCTGTCCAGTTGAAACATTAGCCTGAGGGTATGCAGCAATAAATCCCAACGTGCCTTTTCCCGAAGTTGGGGAGAAACAGGTGAGAATTGTACCTTTATCGACGCGGGCAACGTCGCCAGGCTTCAAGACTGAGATGTCTCCAGGTTTGGCATCATCTCCCATAGATATCTCGCCTACGGCTATTGTCAGTCCAACTTTTCCCTTGAATGCAGCAACACGCACCCTCTGTGACAATGATATATAAATTATATGGTAATTTGTGAGCCGTTGCTCCACTGTCGTGCTTGGTGATTGTCGCAATGCCAAAAGTGAAAGGGGGTCCACCATCTTCGTTGCCAAATATATCGCGGAGGTGGAGGCCGTTTTTTATATGTTGGAGAGTAGAAACGTTCGCCGATGCTTTCTTGGACACCTGCCAAAGAGCGTCAGAGATGTGTTGAACATAAGAATCGTTGCACCAACGGAGACAGGCATTGCAACCACAGTTCAGAGTGGGGGTCTTCTGATGAACGGCTTGTCACAGGATTTTATGCATTCGGATTCAAAATTGGGGTGCGTTATTTTGGCAGACATGTGGACGTCGCGACCCCAGAATGTGGTGTGTTAGGAGAGGATTGTTTGGTGACTGGTGCAGATTGAAACAGATAAGGACCAGCTGCACTGAAAATTTTAACTCAGCATCCCATGACCGTATCTTTTCGGAGTGTGCCCCCCAGACGGAATCGACCTTTTCAGGTACAGGTAAAAAGCCGTGCCACTCCCGTGCGTACCATGCAACGACATGAGAGGAGATCGATGAACGACGTCATGAAAAGCCTAATTGACGAATAACGTTATCAAGGTAAGTAATCCACCGCAGTTCCGGATCGACTGCGAGGGCGATAACGCAACTGCCTGAAGGACTGGAGGAGCAATGGCGCCTGGGAAGGTCAATTGCATCATTTGTAGCTTGTTTGATGCGGGAAATTGACCTATCGACGAAAAAAAAACCTGAGCACGTTGACGATGCAAGTCAGTTGTGTTGTTTCTTACAGTGGCTTTATGTGCACTACAGGAAGCTGACTTTCAGATGAGAGGAAGAGCCGATGACGTCGGTAGTTCACCGAAGGAACGCAAGATATCCGAGAAGGTGGCTTGTATTTCCACAATTGCAAGAAGGGAATCAGGCGAGCAGACGGACATCTTGAGTCACTTGGCCTAAGATGACGCAAGAAGGGTTAGTTACATATCTTTGAGACGATGCAGGATTGACCTACAATGAAAAAGACTTGATTCCCGTCGCTGGGAAACGAAGGGGGCCTAGGACCGAAAACAACATTGACAGCTCCGTTATTGCCAATGGTCACGGTGTTGAAGCTGCCACCAGAAACGGTCGAGGCGGAAATACTCAGAAAGAAAGGCATTGGTGGAGAGGCGCTGAAGAAGAACGAGATAATATCGTTCGCGTTCCATTACGTAGAATCTGAACTTGACAGGAATGACATAAGACGCCAGATATGCGCTCGTTGCAGTGGATAAGGTGAGAGCCTGGGTCAAGTCTTTTGCGGCCTGAAGGTTGCCTGAAAACCGCGATGTTGCAGCGAAAGCCAATCTGGAATTCGGCAACTTCCGCTCACCCATTGCGCCAAAACTCTGCTCTCTCAATTTGGGATCATAACACTTCAAATCGATCGTCTCTCTCTGGCTTGAAAGCCGTGAGACGAAGAGGACTATAAACTTCAAGCTTTGAAAGCTGCAAGCCTGGCCTTATGTTCGGACTCATTAGGACCAGGACAGCTTCAAAATCCCTAAAAAATGTAGCCCAAAGCCACCACATCGCCTCAACGAGTCTGAAAGACAAACTACGAGCCCTCCTACGCGAAACTGCACAGCCCGTCGCCGTCGTCACGTCCTTCATGCAACCCGACTCCCCCAGCACCTCGCACACCTTCCATGGCGCGACCTTGTCGTCATTCACGTCCATAGCGATGGACCCATACCCCTTCATTGCATTTGCCCTGCGCATGCCTTCTCGAATGGCATCTTCGCTTGACGCAGCCCAGCCAGACCAAGCATCTCACATGGTTGTGAACCTGCTCTCTGCAGAGCAAGCCTCCATTTCTGTCAAATTCTCAAGGCCGGACTTGTACCCAGAACCATTTTCCTCGATACCTTATTCGCTTTCGGAGGAGGGTCTGCCGATAATCGATGATTCGTTGGGGGCGATATCTTGTAAACTGGTTTCAAAGGCCATACCCCTACACGATTTAGAATTGTCGAGGGGAGAGAGCAGTGAGGAAATGATGAAGCCCCCGTTGGAAGATTGTCCGTCTTCAAAGCTCTTCATTGCACGTGTCACACGTGTCGAGAGTTCTCCGAGCGACCACGATGACAGTTTACCGTTGCTCTACCATCGACGACAATACACGAGTTGTCAAATACCACCCTTTTCGCCGGCTATGGACCCATAGATTTCTTCTGTATGACTTTAGCAGATACACAAAGTGAGTTACATTTGCATCTTGTCAAATTTGAACTAAACATAAAGTACACTTCTGCCAGCGCTTCTCATCGTTTGCTACCAATCGCCTACCACGGTAGTATCTGCTCTACCGCTGCACGAAATACTACAGTGTCCTATTTCACGTCCGAACTCAATCAATGGACCGCTAGTCAGCTGCCTGGGCTGATCGTCTGTCTATATATGTATACAAGCAAATCCATCCAACTATGACGTGTAAGAGCGATCGCTCTTACAGAGGCTCGAACTCTACGAATCGTACCGGCAACTCAGCACCTCCAATCGTGACTACAGACCTCTTCGATCAGGGCCTATAACATCAAGCAGAAAGTGATAAACATACAGAGGTTATAAAATTCGTCCTTCGATAAGTTTGGTAGCGTCTGTTCGGGCGCATCCAATGGCACGCCAAACCTCTGACAGTCATTGTCAGTTAACACAAACGTGAAGGAGTCCAAGTAGGCTTACCTTGGGGTGGACTCGGTTATGCGTCCTGAGGCGTAACTCCAAGTCCTCCACAGTCGCTTCCCCTTCATTCAGCTCCTGAGTGAGAAGGTACTTCTGGAAGGCTTCTCCATGATCAACGAACGCGTCCAGTGATTCAATCAGGCGATACACAGAAGGAGAATGAGCCCCCTGTGCTAGCAGCTGTTTAAGGCGCGAGTCCTTGAGCAAACGGGGTTGTTTAACTCCTCCATTTCCCAATGGAACCAGTCAAGGCACTTACCACAGAAGGCAGACTTTGACACCGTTCTTTCAGGAAGTCCAATACCCTCGGGTTATCCCTCGCCGTTACATACGGTCGATCATGATACCATTTAGTCGAATGCATGACGAGGCAAGAATAGCGATTTGCTATGTTCAGCAATGGTCCCCAATTCGCCAAGCATTCTTTAATCCCGAGGTGATCACCCATATCGCCAATATCCACACGGTCAAAGGAGGCCCGGTCAAAGGCCGGCAAGACCCCCGCGGCGATACCTTTAGATAACAAGCGGGAATCGTACTGTGTGAGGTGAATGTTGATGTGGAACTCCTTCACGCGCAAGCTGAACTCCCGGAGCTGCTGCTTGACGTGGAAAAAGAGACATCCTATAATATCTCCGGATGGGTCCAGCCCGTGCTTGAGTCCGCTACGTTGAACACTTGATACGTCCCAGCCGTGGAGGGGGTTGATATCGTCTTCTTGGCCCAGCCATCCCCCTTTCGCGGAGAACATGAGTCTGGGGGAATCAAATCAATACACCATGTCGTTGAACAAAAATATCCACGTACCGATTGGGTTCTGTGAAAGGACTAACATCCATGGAGAACGGCGCCAAAACGCCAGTCTTCCAAAACTGATTCAGAGCCATACGATGTACGGGCTTGAGTCCTGAAAGCATCTGATGTCTATCATCGACGCGGAAGGGATCGAACAGGACGTCCCGCATCCTCCTCATCGCCTTGGGGAGCTCGTACCGCGAGAGCAGCATCTCTATCGGACGCTTGATTCCCGCAGTTGGCTGTACGGAAAAGAGCTTCCCCCTCCCCCTTGTCTTCATAAAGCTCTGGAAGGACATATCGCCGTCCGTTGGGCCGTCACCGTATATGTCCTGAACGGCCCGTCTCAAGTAGGCAGCCATCGCGGGAGAGAGTCTGGAAGAATACATCAAATGTGTGGCGAGTTCGGCTGCTTCTTCGATTGAGGGTCCAGGACTGAGGAGGACGTATAGGATGAGGAGGTTGCGCGTGACAACCACCGAGTCGGTGTGGTTGATAAGGATATCGCATTTCCCTTGGTAGTGTTTCGGAAGGGAGTTGATGGTCTTGACGAGGTTACGAATGTCGCTTGTAGCTGGATGCTCGTTGTCAGAAGGAACTTTCTTTCACCTGGAGTGGAGGACGACTTTACCAGCGAGACAAATCTTGAAATTATAATCCTTGCAGGCCAGACCCTCGTTGCGGCCCATCTGTATGCAGTCATACGCTGGAAAATGTCCCCATAGGCGATGTATCTCTTGAGCTGGCGACACGGTCCGACTTTTCGGACGGTAGAATAAGGGCGCTCTTTCTTCTACAACCCAATTCGGTTGCCACTTTGGGTCAACAAACGGGTGCTCGCAATCAACGCGATGCTTGGGCCAATGTTGGCGTTGACATCGCCCAGAGCAGTACTGCGATATTCTGCAATCAGCCAACTTTTCTCGATCCTTATCAGGACCTGATGTTCACCTTTACGAGGGCACACTGAAATATTCATTCTGCCATCAGCCAATGACTTCGATCGTCAAAGAAAAGTCAACTCACCCTTGAACACGCCATCAAACCGGGATCCGTGCACCGTCCTTCAGAGGCGCGGTCATTACTGCAAAGTATCTGCGACACCGTTCTTCCATTGGCTGAAGAGCCAAGCCCGTAAGACATGTATGTCTCGAGGCTCAACTCGTCGGACTTTCGCTCGCGGTAAGTGATCCTCACGCTGGGTCTTCGTATGCGGGATATCACTGAACGATAGTATTGGTAGTCAGCCATCATCCTGGAGTTGAGAGGTAGAACAAGAAAGGAGGAGGAAGGGTGTCGCCGTTACATCACCCTCCTTCAGCAGGCACTCGCATTTATACATCTGCTGATAGGCACGAAGAAGCAGACCATTGTTAATCCCGCGGGTTGTCGGGATAAAAGTGGGTGTTACGTCTTGCATTCCGGAAGGTAGCCAAGCGTAATGGACAAGTGGTTCTGGAATCAGTTGATTACATTCATTTCGAAGGGATGATTCGTCAGAGTCTGAGAGTCAGCGTATGAAATCATGATGAATGCAGAGTTTCTAGAATTCCTTTGCGTGCGTAGATACAAATCAAGTCCGGACATAGGACAGACCGAGGGTACTTTCATGCTTTGACGACCACCCCAAATTCTACGTATCGCGTTGCTGGGTCGGCGCTGCCTAATGTGACTTTTGAAAAAAGGACTGTAAGAGTCCCTCGCCGGTGGAGCATCAGAAGAACACTCACATAGGTCATAAAACTCTGCAGAACTGAGCTTGGGAATCGTATGTTCAGGCGATCCTACAGGAACGCCATGCCGCTAAGGTACCAAGAATCAAGAATCAGCCCCAAAGAAGGAAAGATAATCAACGAAGCGAAGCAGGGAAAGGTACGTTACCTGTGGATGAATCCTATGCACATCTCTCGCCTTAACTCCAAGAGCAGCAGCCGTTCTCTCCACACCAAGACCACGGAAATAAGTCTTGAACGCATCAGAATTGTCGTGGAACGCGTCTACTGATTCCATGATACGATACAAGCTCGGGGAGGTCTGGCCTTCTCTCCCTATTCGTCGCAAGTCTAGGTTCTGGCTTATGTATCAGCTTCAAAATTCATGCGAAAAGATAGAAACTGAGGTATGACACGAACCAAGGCCTTGGAGCAAGTGATCATCAGATCAGAGAGGTTAGGCGCAGCCGTCTCTGCGTGAAAGGCAAGTTCGTTGATTTGCATGAGCATCTCAGCGTGCGGGTTCTCCTTGTTCAACAACGGGATCCACAACTCGAGCGTATCATTAATCCTCAGATGCGGATCCACAATCAACCCCATATCGATCCTATCGAAGCATCCTCCTCCTCTTTGGAAAGCCTTGCCGAGTTTACCATCGCGAATCCTTTGAGGTATTGCGTCTCTGGGGAGCGTAGCTACCGTGATGTTGATGTTGAATTTCTGCACCCTCCTTGCGAATTCTTGGAATTGCGATTTGACGTGGAAGAAGAAGCAGCCCCAGATGTCGGTGGGTAGTGCGCCGTGTGCTAAGCCTGATTGTCGAAGATGGGAGACGGGCCAGCCTGAGAGGGGGTGTGCGACGTGTCGTGCGAACCATTCCCCCATATTTCCATGCATAAGTCTACACACCACATTTCAGTTTGTTAGTCGGGAGAAGAGGTGTATGGCACACTGACCGATTAGGCTGATCAAAATGAGCCGCATCCACATTAAAAGGGAGCAAAATCCCCGACTTGCGAAAATGGGTGATCCCAACCCGATGCTGCCCCTCCAAAGGAACCATAAACCGCTCCGCGAAATCCTCACGCTTCGGGTTCTGCATCACCTTTGCCATTTTGCGCTGGGCAGTCTTGAGCTTGTAATCCGAGACGTACTGCTCCAAGAACAGGCCCAACATCCACGCTTCGTGTACCGCTTCCAAAGTCCTACCGCCCCGAATGGGCAGCTTGGCATCGTACGTCTTGCCTTTATGCGCATCGTCGAACGGGTTCCCGTCGAGGCCTTCAAAGGCCCCGTAGATGGTGTGTATGCACCGGTAGAGGTAAGCCGCCATGGGTGTTGTGAGCGCTGCAGAGTACATCAAGTGCACTGCGAACTCTGCCGCTTCGTCGATGGGCAACTCGGGGTTTAGGAGCGCGTAGAGGACGAGGAGGGTGTGTCCTGCTTGAATCGTCTTTTGGTCGTGGTACAGGATATCCAGCGTTCCCGTGAAATCTTCCGGGAGGGAGTTGACTGTATGCACGAGGTTGCGGATGTCTCCTCCTTGATTGCCTGCCATTCATTCATTCATTCATTCATTTCAACACCCAACAAAGAAAAGGAATAACGTACGAGCAAAACAAATCTTATACCCCCTCCCAACCTCCCCCTCATTCCCCTCCAAATTCAAAAGATCAACAGGAGGCGTTTCGCCCCACAGCGTGATATTATAATTCGTGATTAAATGGCGGGGGACAGGGCTTTCAGGCTGTTCACCTACGAACTGGGGCTGCCTTTTCTCTTTGAACCATGCGGGGACCCACTGAGGCTGGGACGCGTCATCCGACTCGGAGTCGAGTAAGGGGCTTTGGCAGGTTTCTTTGCGGTGTTTTTTCCAGTGCTGTTTTTGGCATTCTGCGGAGCAGTACTAGGTAGCGTTAGGAGGTCGTATGATGAATGAGTGGGTGTGGATCGCGTACCTTGACAAGAAGACACTACGAAAAAAAACGCGTCAACATCACCTCACAGTCTCCAAAATATGTACTTCCGAACCCACCTGAGAACATACCAAAGTCCCAGGACTCATACACTGCACAAACGGACCCGACCCCGGCACCTGGCGTTTCAGATTCGCGCAAGGAACAGTGGTGAGTTGTTGGCCTGCCCTACCCGACCCAAGCGCACCGCTGAATTTAGGTGGGTTTTCTTGGGAGAGGTAGTCTTCTACGGTAGGCAAGTCGTTGGAGTCATTGTTGTTTTTGGTTAGGAGGTCTTTGAGCCGTGCAGAGATGGTTGGGCCGATGGGGACCGTGGCGCCGAGAGTGAGGTTAACCATGGGTGTGGTCAAGGTGTGGTCCAGAAAGACGCGTTTTTTTTCACTTATTTTACGTGCCATCATTGGCAATGCACGTCCCTAATATATAGTGCGTATGCAGGGTGGCAGACGGCAGACGGCAGGCAGGGTCACTTATTTATAAATGGACGTGGGCTTTTGGAGTGCGGCCTGCGGTGAAGGACCGTATGGGTATAGTTCATTTCCGTTACCTCGTTGAACAAACGAGGGCGCACAACCCAAAACGCGGACCAATCGAACACGCTCATCCATAAAAAAGAAAACACAAATATTCCATTAAGCTCTCCTCTAAAACCATTCCAAAACAACTATTCGTACAATCTACGTATTCTTCTTCCGTTCGCATGACCCTTCCATCTCGTGAATATGTCAGGCTTTGGGTATAGGGCGTAAAGGGGTTTGTTAGATGCCAGCCACCCGTTTTAGGCTAAGGGTGAGGGCAGGGGAGGAGGGGTTATTGTCGGTTGTGAGGGCTATTGTTGGTGGTGGGGGTTGTTGTTGTCGGTGGTGGGGGTACTTGTCAGTGGTGAAGGTTATCGTCGGTGGTGAGCGTTACTGTCAGTGGTGATGATACCTCCAAAGACGTTTGAGCTTTACGAGAAGGGGGTTCGCTGCGTCAGTGATATCGGCTGTGGCAGTAAGTAGGTGTGGAGCTTCTGTCAGTGAGATAGTTGTCGGTGGTGAGGGTTATTCGGCGGTGAGGAGTATTGTGGGTCATTGTCTGTCGGTTGTGATATATCTCCAAAGACGCCAGGCTTTAAAGGAGGATTCGTCGTGTTTGTGGTTATCGGCCGTGGGCGGTTAGTAGGTAAGGATACGGCAGATCAAGGGCGAGGATAGTGGAGGAGGGGTTATTGTCGATTGTCGGTGGTGAGGGATATTGTCGGTTGTGAGGGCTTCTGTCGGTGGTGATATTGTTGTCGGTGGTGAGGCTTCAGAGGAGGGTTCGTTGTGTCAGTGGTTATCGGCCGTGGGCGGTGAGTAGGCCAACCTAAGTCAGCACCAGTATACGGTAAACAAGGGGCAGTGGAGGAGGGGTTATTGTCGGTGGTGACGATATCTCCAAAGACGTTGAGCTCTCGAGGGAGGATTCGTCGTGTTAGTGGTTACCGGCCATGGGGGGGTGAGTTGGTAAGTATGATCCCCGCGCGATCATCAATCATCAAAGGAATGCCCGCCCTCGCATCCGCGAAAAGACGGTAAGTAGTGGCTTCACCACAAAAAAAACGACTAAGATCCCCTCTTCGCAAGGATCCTAGCCCGCGCCTTCTCCATCGACTCCCGAAGCTCAGGACTAGCCCACGCACCAGGCTCTTCAAATTCCTTCGAGCTGCTTGTCGGGAGCGCGCTCTCATACGAAAGACCACGCGAGTGGCTTCTCCTCGGTGTAACAGCAGAGGACGACGAGAGGGAGGAAGAAGGCACATCAAACCCTCCACGTCGTGGCGACGCGGATGGAATGGGTAAAGAAGAAGAAGGGGCAGCAAAAGAACGTCTGCCCCCTAAAGCGCGCTTCAAAGAACTAGAGCGCGATAGCGAACGGGGTTGGGGGTCCTCATCATCCCAAACACCCCTCCCATCATCCACCTCGTCCTCCTTCACATCACTCATAACCACCACTTCGCTCTGTAGGGCCCTTTTGCCTTCTTCGATGAGCATAGCGAGTTTATCACCGATCCAGTCCATCTGGTCTGCTACCGGGCCTTGTTCTTCTCCTTCTTCTTGTGCTTGTGCTTGGGGATGAGGAAAGCTGAACTCGGGCTGCGTGGGTGGGAATACCGCCGACGAAGAAGAGGCGGTATGGGGTGGTGTGGTGTAGGTGTGTGGGCGGACGCGGGGTCTCCGGTGGTGTGCGACCGGACGCTTGAGTGACGATACTTGTTGTCTTGATTTCCGAGAACGCGAGGGTGTAGTCGAGTTGGGTGTGGGTGTATTCGTGACCTGCACGACTCGGGTGTGTTGTTCGATTGGGGTCCATTCTTGTTGGTATGGTGGTGGTGGGGCTTCTTTGCCGCGATCTCTCCAGCTAAAAAAAAGGGTGGGCGTTAGATAAAATTGGATGGTGGGGAGGAGGGGAGGGGGTGCTTACAGGCGATAGACGGTGAGCCCTACAGCGGTGCCGATGAGCGCAGCGCTGAGGGCTGTTGACACGATCGAGCCTGCGAGGCCGCGGCGGCGTTTAGCGGGGGGGAGTTCTACGTGAAAGATGAGGATGAGGCGGTCCAGCAGCATCATGAATTGAAACAAGGAGAGCGATAAAGAAAAACGAAAATAGCAAGCGCAAAGAGTGTTTGGTGTGTATCTGAGAACCAACATCCACAACTCTGCGGTTCAAATACTCATCGCAGTGATAAACACGTGCGATACACAAGGCTTGCATCATGCAGCATGCATATGAAACGCAACAAGGGGGTTGAATTGAGAAATTCAATGGTCGATCAAACTTACCTGGCGTATCACTCATGGTGATGTCGTGGTATTCATGATGATCATTCGGCGTCATCAGCTGCTCCCTATACTTTGCCGGCGTGTCGAGATAACCAGCAGACGAGGCGAGTGTGGCAGTCGATCGACTGGGTTCAGCGAACGTGGGCTCCCAGCCTCTTTTCCTCGATGCTGGTGGTGGTGGTGTTGGTGAGAGCGAAGGACTCGGACTCGGAGATGGGCGTTGACGCGGACGGCGAGGACGCTTCTCATGAGTGTGTGTTCGGTCCTGGGCCGGTGGCAGTTCCGGAGGAGTGACAGGTGAAGCGGAGAATGGATTAGATAGGCCGGGAACGGATAGTTTAAATGTGAAGGGAAACATGTTCTGGTGAGGAAAGGAGAAAAAGTCGCGTTGGTTATCGACAGAGATGGAGAAGAGTCCATTCAACGACGGCCACCGTGACATTTCTATGTTTGTCCACAATAACAACACGTGCATATGGCCACTCGACCCTTATCTTTGAACTTCACAGTTACAGTACACCATCTGGACGCCTTGAGGTTTGATGGCAATCTGAAATCCGGCTTACAGGCATTGACAAATCATCTTCCTGCAGACACACATATGTACAAAACCATTCCAAGGCCTTTTCGGTTACGTCAACCTCGGGCAACGTTCAGTAATACCTTATGTTCGTCAATTACCTGTGCTGCTGTGCAGGCTATGATGATCTCGGTCTCAGGCCGAAGGACTCTCGTCCCACTGGCCCTAAAAAACACAGGCGCTTTCACGATTACCCATTCATATCCACTGGCCTAGGCTAGATTCAGGATAGCAACGGTCCCTCAACGTTCAACTGCCCGTTTCAACAATTCGGTACCGATTCCGACCAGATAGCGCACCTTTCATCTCGGTCATTTTCATATGTAGGCCAATCCTGCATCGTCTCAAAGGCATGTACCAACTAACCCTTCTTGCGTCATCTTAGGCCAAGTGGCTCAAGATGTCCGTCTGCTCGTCTGATTCCCGGGATATTCTTGTCATTGCGAAAACAAGCCACCACCTCGCATATCTTGCGTTCCGTTACCGACGTCATCGGCTCTTCCTCTCATAGACTGAAAGTCAGCTTCCCTCAAGATGTCCGTCTGCTGGTCTATCTCCCTTCTTGCAATCGCGGAAATACAAGCCTACCACCTCGCTCTCATCTGAAAATCAACTTCAATTTCTTGTACACAGAAAGCCACTGTAAGAAACAACCGCAAACTTTAACCTTCATCGTCAACACGCTCATCAACTATCGAAACAAACCCTTCCGGCGCCATTGCCCTTGAGGCAGTCGCATTATCGCCCCGGGGACCATGAATGTAGGTATCATACGCAACCACAATCCCTCTCCAAGCTGGATTCATAGGGTAGCAACGGTCCCTTGACGTTCAAATTCCCATTTGGAAATTCCGGTACCGATTCCAACCTCATCTCGGTCATTTTCATATGTAGGTCAATTCCGCATCGTCTCAAGAGTATGTAACTTACCCTTCTTGCATCATCTTAGGCCGAATATGACTCAAGAGGTTCCTTTGCAATTTCGAAAATACACGCCACTACCTCACATTCCGTTGGTGAACTACGAACGTCATTGGCTCTTTCTCTCTCCTGAAAGTCAACTTCCTGTACACAGAAAAGCTGTAAGAATCAATCTTCATCAACGCGCTCAGTTTTTTTTTTTTCGTCTATAGGTCAAGTTCCCTCATCAAACAAAAAGGGTACCAATGACGCATCTGTCCCTTCCGGCTCCGGCCCTTCAGGCAGTTGCATCACCGCCCTCGCAGTCAATCCGGGAACCAGGAATGTAAATATCACGGGCCAAGATGACGAAGCGCTTCCATCCACTGGCCTCCAGGCTGGGTTCATGGTACCTTCACGTTCAACCTCCCGTTTGGAGAATTTGGTACCGACTTCCGGCTTGATAGCGCAACTTTCATCCGGTCGTTTCACTATGTAGGTCAATCCTACATCGTCTCCAATCTATGTAACTAACCCTTTGCATCATCTTCAGTTAGGTCAAGTGGCAGTGAATATGACTCAAGATAACCTTTGCAGTTGCGGAAATGCACGCCACTACCTCACATTCCGTTGGTGAACTACAAACGTCATCGGCTCTTCCTCTCATCTGCAAGTCAGCTTCCTGTACACAGAAAGCTGTAAGAAACGATGCAACTAAACTTCGTCGTCAACACGCTCATTTTTTTTTTTCGTCTATAGGTTAATCCCCCGCATCAAACAAAAATGACTAAAAATGACGCAACTCCCCCTTCCGGCGTCATTGCCCCTCCGCCCCTCCAGGCAAGTTGCATTATCGCCCTCGCAGTCGAACAACTGGATATGTAGGTATCACACGCACCAAAATGATAGGCGTATTCATTCACTGTCTCCATCCACTTCGGGCATCCAGGCTGGACTAATAGGGTAGCAGCGGTACCTTGGCGTTCAACCTCTCGTTTGGAGAGTTTGGTACCAGTCCCGACCTGATAGCGCAACTCTTATCTAGGTCGCTTCGATATGTAGGTCAATCCTGCATCGTCTCAAAGGTATGTAACTTACCCTTCTTGCATCATCGTAGGCCAAGTGGCAGTGGTACAACTCAAGACGTCCGTCTTCTCGACTTACTTGCATTATCGCCCTCGCAGACGATCCGGATTTGAGGTCGTTTAGCCTGGTAATTTTACTCGTCAATTAGGCTTTTCATGACGTCGTTGACCAATCACCTCTCATGTCCTCGCCCCGCAGCCTCATTGCAAGATACGCACGGGATTGGCAACGGGCGTTTTACCCGTGCCTGGGAAGAGTCTATTAGACACATACCCGAAAGATACGGTCATGGGATGCTGAATTAGAATTTTCAGCGCAGCTGGACGTTATTTGTTTTAATCTGTACCAGTCACCAGACGATCCTCTCCCAACGCTTTGGCATCCCAATGCCCCGTTAAACAACCGCCACATAGAAGCTAGCCCATTTTCATCCCGTTGTACCACCTATACCCCACATTGTGGGGTCGCAACGTCCACACGTCTGCCAAAAGAACGCATCCCCAATTTTAAACCCGAATGCATATAATCCTCTGTGACAAGCCGTTCATCAGGAGATCCCTGCTTTGAACTGTCGTTGCAATGCCCGTCTCCGTTGGTACTACGATTCTTATGTTCAACGCATCTCTGACGCTCTTTGGCAGGTGTGCAAGAAACCATTTGCGGACGCTTCTGCTCTCCAATATGTAGCGAATGGTGCGCATAACCGCGATATATTTGGCAATGAAGATGGCGGACCCCCTTTGACTTGCGGCATCATGGCAATCACCAAGCACGATAGTGGAGGAACGAGTGCCAAGTCACCATGTACCGGATATGTCATTGTCACCGAGGGTGCGTTGGTACTGCATTTAAGGGAGAAGTTGGACTGACAATAGCCGCACTCATCCGTAGGTGAGCTATCCTTGGAAGATGCTGCCAAACCTGGAGACATCTCAATCTTGGAGCCTGGCAACGTTATCCGCATCGACAAAGGTACAACTATCACCTGGTCCTCCCGAACTTCGGGAAAAGGTACGTTGGGATTTATTACTGCGTAAGCTTGGTGTTCAAGTTGCTAACTTTTTAACTGGACAGCGATTTACGTTGGCCAATATGAATACGGGATGGACCAGAAGAAGTATCTGGTTTAAACGGCCCAGCTCATGTTTTCTCTTTCTGTCTTGCTGTGCTATCTGCTAGCCATGAACTTGATGTACGCCTGAAATATGATTCCTGTCGCCATGAGGCTTGGTTGTGAGCGCATTTAAACGCACTTGAACAAAAATAGACTAATGGTGGGATCCTAATCTCGGGGGGTCAACTTCAAGTAACGCACTGCTTGCCATTGAGGATTCAAAGCTTGTGTCTTACGGTACATAATTGTTTACTGGATGACTCCTCCATTTATTGCCTGCTGAACATTAGAAGTTTTGCAACTATTGTAGAAAATCCCAAGGTTTTCCAGAAACCCTGTAAATAAACCCCACATAGAAGCTCACTGTTATCCCTACCGTAAAACATCTCCATCCCACTGTCGCAGGGAACCATCCCCTCATGTCACGATCAAATATTTGAATCCTAACCTTTTGTTATTATACAGCACCTTGTCATCGCCCCATTCTGCCGATGTGTCTCGTAAGGGTTAGTCAGCGCCGTTACGCATCACCTGCAGCCGCTCTGAGCTTAGCCACTTTGTCTCTGGAATGAACCAATAACTGGCCAACCCCATAAGTGTGACTGCAGCGAATACAACGCCACCCTAGCACACGAGTGCAAAAAATAAAAATAAAGACCATTAGAAACGCGACAACAATGATTGCCCGACAACTTACAACGTTGACTGAGCTCGGAGTAACAGGAAATGTGAAGGGCGAGATAAAAACCTGGGCAAAGGGCGTACGTGTTAGTCATGTTGAATTAGAATCCCGGATGCACGAACCGCGAGGGCAAGCGCATTGAAAAGCGCTGCAGTCAGGTAGAATAACTTCCTGAAGCGCCCAAGGGAAAACCTGGAGCTCCGGAATGCGTCCGGCGTCACGGTTAGACGCAGGAGCCCGATGAGCCCGTAGCATGCAGCAAGCGGGATCGCCCCAGCGCTCATGAGTGATGTAAATGCGGACGAACTGGGGATGATCATGCACAGCATCACGGAGGAGAACACAAAGACGAATGTCACTGCGTTTTTCGGGCGGCCGTCTGGCGTGAGCGTCGAAATCCATGCCGACAGGGGCAATGCGCCGTCTCGCGCGATGGCAAAAATAAGACGCGAGGTGGCTAGAACGATTAAGGTGCCACCCTGTGACAATGCCGTCGTGTCAGGTTTGCAAACAATAGGTGGCCGACAATGGCAAGAACTTACGAAGAGCGCCGCTAGGGTCGCAATGCATGTCATGAACGTACAGCCAGCTCGTCCAAGTGCCAAAGCATAAATGAGCACAAACGGCTGTGGTGCGTGCAAAGAGAAGAGCTTCTCGAGGTTTGGAGTGCAAAAGAGGAAGAGAATCAATGTGACGAATCCACCTACGGAAGTTGCAACACAGCTCCTGAACAAGTTACGGGCAGTGACGACACTAATGGGGAGGACACACAGGGTGATAAAAATGTGATCGAAGCCAAATTTATCAAGTTTAACGTACTTCGCATTCTTTGTTTCCTCTGCAACGTGCCCAGTCGCGTCAAAGCCCATGCATGCAGATGCAGCGAAGAAGTACGATAGGATCCAATTCCATGCGGGCAGTGCACCCGTCCCATTGTCTGTTCCGTGATATATTAAGTACCCAGCTCAACGCATGTCAAATTTGGACATACTTGTGGCGAGAAATGCGTCGTGCACACTTCTGAACCCATACGTTTTGCTCACTCCAACTGGCAGCCAGATTAGACACAGCATGAAGTCTAAAAACATGATTATCATGGCGCCACGGAACAGAATAGGGTACCATCGGGCTGTAAACAGATTAATCATATTTTAGCAATGCAGTTCTCTGGTGAGAAAACTTGGAGAGTGGATGCAAGAAACACAACACGCACAGTGAAGATAGTTCGGAAGCACCGATAACAGAAGGAGTGATTCTGATACTATCCATACTACTACCCGCCACTTGATATTGTCGTTTGAAATGCCTCCAGGAAAGTTGAGGTCGTACACAGTAGCAAGGGAGAGAATGTAGTTTGCTGAAACCTGTCGCGTATGGATTAGTAACTTGATCTTTTAGTTGTAGCCCACCAGTATGAGGTACATACCTGACAAATGGTGCTAGTAGATGTCATCCAAGAAGTCGCGATCCACCATGCAGCGATAAATCTTCATGGAAAAAGTAATCGGCATGGACCGCGCAAAATACTATGACGATGCGTTTTGCATCCGGTGCTTACCCAATGAATCGCCCATACTTCCTACCGGCCGCTTGGGCAGCCCAGATATATATGCTGCCGCTAACAGGGAGCGCAGAGCATATCTCTGCTAGGACAGCAGCAGTGATCGACATAAAGACACTTGAAACAAGGAAAGATGTCCACATTGCGAGTGGCCCACCAGCGAGGAGGCCAAGAAAGAAGAGCAGCCTATAAAAGCTCATAGTTTCCCGCAAACAGTCATGGATTAAGTGCTCACCGAACGCTGGAAAGATAATTGGTGACGCAAAAACTTGAAATAAAACTTTCCAAGATGCCTAATGATCGGAGGAATTGCTACCAAATATCAGCCGGGCGCTGGGAGGGTGGAGGCTATTCGCGCTCTGCGCACCTGGTTGTATCCGAGGCGTTTCTTTGCGTGGAGGTAAGTTAGATAACTTAGTACATGAACATCAAGCAGTGGGAGGATTGTGGAGCCCGCCGCCAAGGGAGGGACGGGGAACTCAAAAACGGAAACAGACCATCTGTTGCTCATCAAAGTCGACGACAGTTTCCGCCTTTTCAGAGTCGTCCAAGTTATTCTGAGGTATCATTTTTACGAGGGGAAGACGATGGTCGTGATGTAGGCCTTAGATTGCTCACTGAGTTAAAGAGGAATCCGACCTGCGAGGCGTCCCCTACTCAGCAGGTCTAATCAAGGTTTAATCGTATTCAGATGCCACATATCGATAACTCTGATGGGATCATTTCTAGTCGCCGATAACTTGAACAGCCGGGTCTAATAATAGATCTGGCGTCTCTGAGGCCTCGTTCTGGGGATGCCCCAGCTAATGCAGGTCTTGCACAGTCACACGGCCTCTGGAGATCTTCTAAAAACGACGCCGTGAATTACAGTTGCCCAATCTATGTTCCCATGATAGTTTTCCCATCAAGGTCAGATGTTACAAATAATTGAAAAGGTCGGTCCGAATTACCTATACCCAACCGATTTTGGGGTCGAGACGTCTTGCACATGTCTGCCAAAAGAACGCTAAGCGAATGAATAAAGACCTTTGTGACAAGACATTCATCAGAAAACCCCTGCTCTGAACTGTCTTTGCAATGCCCATCTCCGTTGGTACAACAATTCCCATGTTCAACACAATTCTGAAGCTCTTGTGCAGGTGTCCAAAAAAGCATCCGCGAACGTTTCTGCTCTCCAACATGTAAAGCATGGCGTGCACCACCGTGACATATTTGGCAATGAAGACGACGGACTCCCTTTAACTTCCGGTATAATGACAGTTACCAAGCACGACAGTGGAGGGACGACTTTCAAGACACCATGTCTCTCACATATCATTGTCACGGAGGGTGCGTGATACTGCATGCAAGGGAGAAGTTGGATTGACAATATCTGTAGGTGAGATATCCGTTGAAGATGCTGCCAAACCTGGAGACATCTCAGTCTTGGAGCCTGGCGACGTTATACGCGTCGACAAAGGCACGACTATCACCTGGTCCTCCCCAACTTCGGGAAAAGGCACGTTGGGATTTATTACTTCATATGCTTGGTGTTCAGATTGCTAACATTTCAACTGGACAGCATTTTACGTTGGCCAATATCAATTCGGGAGTGACCAGAAGAAGAATACTGTTTAAACGGCCCAGCTCATGTTTTCTCTTTCTGTGATTCTGTGTGCTATTCGCTAGCCATGAACTTCATATGCACTTGAAATATGATTCCTATCGCCATGAAGCTTGGTTATGAGCTAGCCACAGCATTTTATAGCGCGTGAATGTCCGCAAATCTGAAAACGTTGTGGTATTTCTTCCAAGTGAAATGTAAATACCTCGATACTCCTTCGTGGTTTCTAAGTTTTGCACGGGCGCCTTGGCTGATTGTGCTGGACAGTTCTTCGGGAATAATGCAACGATTTGTGTATGGCAGATGGTTGACGTACTTTTGCAGGGCTGAATAAAAAGGAAATTAATTGGTCGCCATTTCAGAAGATGCCAGAACAGCAGAGTCGGTTTCGATTTCTGGCAGCAGATGAGAGCCCGTCTTGACATGTGAGACAAGCATCAGCTTCAAAACAGGGGATCTCATTAATGATAGAAGATTCTTCCCTCAGTCACAAATTTGGAACGTTATCTTGAAAAAAAGAAAGAATAAAAGGCATAAGATATTCGACATACAGTCTCTACTTACAGAAACGCGGCATCGTCCAAAAGTGCCGTGCTCAGAACTTCGAAAAAGCATGTCGTTTTTTCGAACTTCAAGATAATCCGGTAGACATCGGGGCGAAGGACACATTGTTGAAACGGAATCCCATATGTCACCAACGGATGGTGACGATGACGGTGATTCTGACAATGGTGCACCGTTAAGTGCTTCTGCAAGTAAAAGAGTGTTTTTCCAAGAGAAAGCTGGGAATGAATGAGTAGTAAGTTCCACGGGTACATCTCGCGACAAAAGGTTAGAGACTGCAGTATGCGGGTGTCCAATCTTGTGAAAATTGATCCTGGAATACGGAGGTCATGCCGTGCTGACTTACTCGGGTTGAGCATGTTGTGCCAGTTCGCGAACGACGTTAAGAGTAAGAGCCGAAAGCACAGTTTTGAAATCAGAGGGTGGAAGGCATCATGGTCGAAGGTAACCAGACGGAAACCACACTACAATGAAGGGGTTATCAAACCTGGCAAATAAATTATTTCAACAACACATATATGGGTAACACGCACAACAACAAAAGACTGAGCTTTCAAAAGAATACTCTAAATCAGATACCAAAAGCTCAGCAGCTCGGTCGCCCACATTCTCCACCTCCAAGATGGCACTCTCCTTCTTCACATCCACATAAGCCCCATCCCCCTCTCTCAACTCCACCTCATCCCCGCCCTTGGTGGTAAGCTTCACAGTAGCGCCGGTCGCCTGTTGCGCGTTATACCCACTCGTCTGAATAACCTGCACATAGGCCTTCTTCCCCTGCAAAGGCTTGCTCAGCGCCTTGCCCGTCCCAAGGATCGACGCATAAAGGGTTAACGGGCTGTGAACAGGGGCCGGACCCTCGCCCTCCCTCGTATCCCTGACGCCATCCGCCCACACGAGTGCTACGACTTTGGCCCACTTGTCCGTCTTCTCCTCGTCGGTGAAGTGACGCGTGAAGTACTTGGGCTGAAGACGCGCTGTGGTCGGGAAAGACCAAATCTGCAGGAGGTGCACTTCGTCGTCTCCGTGCGCTTTTTCAGAGTGGGATATGCCAGTGCCGGCGGAGGTCAGTTGGATGTCTCCGCGTTTGAGGATCTCGGTGTTGCCCATGGAGTCTTTGCTGAGGTCATTGGATTAGATAGGGTGGCGGGGTAGATGGAGAAAACTACGTACTGTTCGACTTCGCCGGAGACAATGTATGAGAATATGTCGAATTCGCGGTGTGAGTGGGTTCCGAACCCTGTTTGTGGTGCGACGCGGTCTTCGTTGGAGGAGTGACAGGTGGAACGGAGAATGGATTAGATAGGCCTGGAACGGATAGTTTAAATGTAAAGGGAAACATGTTTTGGTGAGGAAAGGAGAAAAAGTCGCGTCGGTTATCGATAGAGATGAAGAACCAAGGCCACGGTGACATTTTCTATGTTTGTTCCACAATAACAACACGTGTATATCGCCACTCGACCCTTATCTTTGCCCTTCGCCAACTTCACAACCATCTGGAGGCCTGAGGTTTGACGTCAATCTGGGATCCGGCTTACAGGCATTGACAAATCATCTTCCTGCAGATATGCATATGTTCAAAAGTATTCCGGTTACGTCAATCTCGGGCAACGTTCTGCAGCAATATCTGATGTTCAACTACCTGTGCAGCCTATGATCTCGGCTTCAGATTTCAGTACTCCTCGTCCCACTGGCTCCCCAAAGACACAGTCTCAGAAACCAGGAATGGATCAGGCGCTTTCATGATCATCCATCCGCATCCACCGATAGCAACGGTCCCTCAACATACAACCTCCCATTTGGAGGATTCGGTACCCATTCCGACCTGATAGCGCAACTTTCATCTCGGTCATCTTCATATGTAGGTCAATCTTGCATCATCTTAAAGGCATGTACATAACTAACCCTTCTTGCGTCATCTCAGGCCAAGTGGCAGTGATACGACTCAGGATGTCCGTCTGCTCCTCTGATTCCCGGAAAATTCTTGCAATTGCCGCGGTCCTTTGGTAAAACTACAAACGTCATCGGCTCTTTCCCTCATTTGAAAGTCAGCTTCCTGTACGCTGTAAGCAACGACCGCAACTAATTTTCATCGTGAACACGCTCAGGTTTTTTCGTCTATAGGTCAAATTTTCTTCATCGAACAAAGACTACAAATGACGCAACTAATTCTTCCGGCGTCATTGCTCCTCCGGCGGTTGCATTATCGCCATCGCAATCGATTCTAACGTTCAACCTCCCATTTGGATGATTCGGTACCGATTCCGACCTGAGAACGCAACTCTCATCTCGGTCATTTTCATATGTAGATCAATCCTACATCATCATAAATGTATTCCACTTACCCTAATTGCATCAAGTGCCAATGAATATGACTCAAGATGTCCGTCTGCTCGTCCCGGGATATTTTTGCAATAGCGGATATACAAGCCACCACCCCGCATGTCTACCGACGTCATCGGCGCCTTCCTGCACACAGAAAGCCACTGTAAGAAACGACGCAACTAGCCTCAAGCCTTTTCGTCAACGCGCTCAGTTTTTTTTGGACATCTATAGGTCAAGTTCCCGCATCAAAAAAAAGGCTACAAATGACGCAACTGACCTTTCTCCTCTGGTCCTTCGTCCATTCAACGACGGACTCTTTGCCACATTCCTATATTTGTCCGCACGTGCATATTGCCACTCGACCCGTAACTTATGTTTGTGATGAGTCGCTTATCGCCAACTTCACATTCTCATAGGGACACCATTTGGAGGCCTTGAGGTTTGACGTCAATCTGAAATCCGGTTTACACGCAATGACAAATCATTTTCCTGCAGACATACGTAGGTTCAAAAGCACTCCAGCGTCTTTTAATACGTCAACCTCGGGCAACGTTGCAATAATCCCTTACTCAATTACCTGCACAGGCTACCATCTCGGCCCCAGGCCAAAGCACTCACGTCGCATTGTCTCCCAAAAAATGCAATCTCGAAAGCCAGGAATGGACGAGGCGCTTTTATGATCATCCACTGGCCTCTGCGGTACCTCAACGTTTCACCCCATGCTTGTAGAATTCGGTACGATTTTGGCGGCATGGAGGGAATAACAAAACATGTGGAGTGGGATTGGAAGGAGGAAAAGATCCATACGTGTACAAGTAATGGTAACAAGACTCAATAGAAAAACATATTTGCCACTGTGCACCAGGCCCAAGTCCAACATATCCCTACAATTGCGACAATTCCATCTCGTCAACTTCTTGATAGACAAAGGAACTACTGTTTGCCTCGTCAACTTCATTGTCAAGGAAACTGAGGTCAACGAGTTGATCGCAAATAAATGAAAGCAAGCCCCGTTCACTAGTGGGTTGTTGGATCTGCTCCCTAATTTTCGGATATTCATTGTGGCAGGCCTTCCGTATTTTCTTCTGCTGCATAGAGTGGGCTAGTCCAAGGAATGAAATTGGTTTGATTCCTAAAGAGAGTCTCAGAAAAGATGGGAAAAAAAAGAAGGAATCCGGAAATGCTACCAAACACAATTTGGAGGATGGTACTTCCAAATATTGCCGCAAAAACACCCGTTAGGAAGGTCCATAAACCTCCAACTTGGGCAAAGCCTTGTAGAACGGACCTGCTTCTATAATCCTGCAACATCCTTGTTTCTGAGAAATCATATGACATGAACACACGGAAGGTGGAGATATTGGGACTCTGCTGAATGAGAGGAATTTCTGGTGCTAAAGGATCAGGATATACACTGAGCATCCGTGATAGCAAAATAGTTTCATAAGACTGTGAAAGAACAAAGCTGTGGTCAATAATAAATGGAAATTTAACTCCAGCATGATACTCACATCAAACAGACTTGCAAAGGCAGACAGGCGAGGACTTTTTAACAGCTGACGCAAGTCCCAGGTGACAACACCAACCAGGTTGACCCCCGGAAGTATTGTGGTGCTGACTGTTCTGTCAACCACAGTCTGAGTATCATTGGTGAGACCAATCATGATCTGCACAGAGTTTTTAAATGCGTTGCTTATTGTGCCAACTGGATGGCCCATGCTGGTAAAGTTGACGGTTATGAGAAGGTTTGGTAAACTTGACATGAAGAGAGGCAATCCCATGTCTGCATGAAAAAATAAAAGCCCTGTTACATGTGCACATTGGGAAAAAAAATATGAGCCTGCCTGGCACTGAGATTAGCTGTGAATAACAGTGGAATGTGTCGATTTGAATAAAAGGTCTATTGGGTAAGAGGTATGTTGCCAGTGGATTATGAAGGCATGGTGAATTGCTTTGAAGATCTTCAAATTGTCAATGATATCAGAAGTGATACTTCAAGATGTGTGGATGGATCAAACTGACCCACACCACTCCACAATGGTATTACATTGGCTATACTTGAAACATCTTCTATGATATATGTTGGAGTGGCCTAAACAATATCTCTTTCAGATATGTCTAAGAGACATTTGAACAGAATGATGCATACCAGGATCACATTCCATGCCAATGTGTCACCTACCAAAAGCCAAGGTAGTTCAAGTGAACGGAAATCTTTTGTTGGTGTAATGCGAGTTTCTTGAATGGGACCTAGAAAAACATTGATGACCAAGGAGGAGAGAAGTGTAAGAATCAAGATGGTTGCAAATAATCCTCTTGATAATAGGAGTGTATTGGTCTCTCCACTATAAATTGTTAGACTAGATTTTTAAATACTCTTTAGACATCACTAACCTGAAATGTTTCCTCCATACTGCATGGCCAAACAAGACATTGTAAGGTTTAGAAACTTCTTGTCCCAAAAAGTTTGGAGTTGTTGAGCTCCAAACATGTTGAGTGATGTAGAGAGCCACACATCCTACCCAAATGAGCACTTCAAGCAACAGGCTGATGAAGATGACCCAGGCTAGAATAGTATACAGGGTCACTGATGTGTATGACCATGGATTGATTGACCCTAGTTCTGTCATGTAAGCTGCAATATCTACAGCCATATTCAAGTAAGTTGAGGTATAAAAAAGTTAAACATACTTGTGATTTCAAAGAACAGGGCAGGAAGATCGGCAAAGCCATATTCAAACTCCAAATTAAGGCAGCTAAAAGTTCTGGAATTAGTCTGACAGAACAACCTGAAAATTATATTGACAACTATACCTGACCAGATGATGCAGTATAATAAACACAAGCATTGAAAACCAAACAAAATCTGGTGGGTTCAAGTGTTGCCATACAGAAGGGAGCAATCCCATGCATGCCAAAGATGAAAGGAGGACAACTCGTAGAAGAAAATTTCTTCCAGAAACTGCAAATTTCATTTGAGTCGATGTCATATAATATTTGGTGGACATATTTGGCATAGTGGTTCCACTAGAATAATCAAATAAGAAAATTTCTAACGTCTTTAGAAGCTCACTCACTTTAAAAATGTGATAGATGTAGATCTACCAAACATAATTTGGTAGGGTTTAAGACTGTCTTCTGAAGTGAGAGCTCGATGCTGCAATAAAACATGGTGTTGAGAGAGATAAAGGATCAAAGATCCCATTCGAAGAAGTGCTTCAAGGAGGAGAAAGATTGCAAGAGCACAGTAAATGACTAAGCAATTTTTGACTGGTGGTCGCTGCCCATAATGCCATATAGGACTTGATGTCAAGTCTCTCTGTGTGAGAGTAAGCCCTTCCACTGTAGGCATGGATTTGATGATGAATGGAATATAATATCCAATACCTAATATCATAAGTCAAGTGAGGGTTACTGCTCATTTGTAGTGATCAATGAGATGATAACGTACCTGCTACTTCAAGCAGCAGAAGTGGCAGGTCAAAAAGTCCATAAACTGGGTCCAGGTTGAGTGTCCTACAAAAAATGAGGATAGCCAACTGAATTGATTCAAAACTTACAAGAGAAAATGGTGAACTAAAATAAAACTGACCACACCCAGCGCAAACCAATGCTGAGGTCTAATTGGCGCCTGTCTGTAAGCCCAAACAAATGGGCCGGAGAAGAGGAGTAACAGTGAGGCTATGCATAATGGAACCACAAATCGCAGAAGATAAATTCTGGCCGAGAGCATTAAGGGCGGCTTCGTGGGCATTGCAAGTTGCGATAAATGTCGTAGACGTAGGCTTGAAAATTGTCACAGCAAAGTTGGTGAACTTGTCAGGAGAGGAAGCAAAGAATGAGGGCGCCATATTAGACATGTTGACAGATCATAAAGGGTGCACATGAGGGAGGCTATACGGGCGTGTTGGTCTCGTGTCCGTAGAATCCCCCTGAGATCCAAATGCAGAGAGGCGTTTCCCATGAGAGTGGGAAAGCGTGAGGCAAAGATTCCTTGGAAAGGCGTATCGCGCTTGTTCTTCTCATGTCAGATTAGGCTTCAAAGTACTCATGCGTCCAATGTCCCTCTAATTCCGCATTATCTTGAGACATCATGGTCCGAGTCGGGACTCGGACCGCTATGATTTCAGATTGATTAGATAGTGTCTACTGGCTTTGTCCATCTTTTTTCATCTCCAGAGCATCCCTGGTACGTAGTTTTGCTTAGCCACACTTGAGAGCTTGACCTACCGCAATTCTGTGAACCAGCTGGTCTAAATACACGTTTCGCTTCCACAATCTGGTGATTGTGCAGCAGCCGACAACGTGCAAAAGTCAGGTCTTCGTCAACGGCGTTGCCAGCTGCACTAGAGACAACTTGAGTGCTATTTAACAACGACGATCACATTTCTATGTTTTTCCACAATATCAACACGTGCATATCACCACTCCGAGTACTGGACCCTTATCCTTCCCTTCGCCAACTTCACAGTACACCATCTAGAGACCTCGAGATTTGACGTCAATCGGAAATCCAGCTTACAGGCATTGACAAATCATCTTCCTGCAGACGTTACATATGTCCAACGCCTTTTCGGTTGCGTGAACTTTGGGTAACGTTTCGTCATAGCTGATGTTCATCGATGCATCACCTGTGCAGAAGGACTCACGTCCCACTGCACTGGCACCCAGAACACAATCTCAGAAACCAGCAATCTGAATATCATACGCGAGGCGCTTCATTCATCCCCACCCACGCCTCCGCGACCACGGTGGGCGGATTCAATAGGGTAGCAACGGTCCTGTACATCCAACCTTCAATCTAGAGAATTCGGTACCGATTCCGATGTTAGCGCAACTCATCTCGGTCGTTTTCATATGTAGGTCATTCCTGCATCGTCTCAAACGTCCGTATTGACAATTCCAGAAAAGGGGGCAACGGCGAGAAAGAAGCTTGTCTTGTCAATGTCGGCTTGAATTGTTTCTGTAAGACACAAAACCGCTTGAACTAAACTTCATTTTCAACACGCTCAGGTTTTTTTTTCAACCATAAGTAAAGTTTGTCACATTGAACAAAGGCTCAAATGACGCAACTAACCCTTCTGGCCCCATTGCTTCACTGGCAGTTGCACTATGGGCGCCTTCGCAGTCGATCCGGGAATCAGGAATGTATATCTTACGCGTACCAAAATGACGAGGCTCTTTCGTCCACCCCACGTTCAACCTCCCGTTTGGAGAATTCGTTACCAGTTCCGACCTGATAGCGCAACTCTCATCTCGATCATTAGGTCAATCCTGCTTCGTCTTTAACGTATGTAATTGACCATCTTAGTAGTGGGTACTTCCCCGATGCCCAGGGCATTATTGCTTGTGGCGGTCCTTTGGTAAACCACGGACGTCATCGGCTTTTCCTCTCATCTGAAAATCAACTTCAAATTCCTGTACACGGAAAGCAACTGTAAGAAACAACCGTAACGAACCTTCATCGTCAACCCGCTCAGGTTTTTTTTTGTCTATAGGTCAATATCCTGCATCAAACAAAAAGACTACAAATGACGGAACTACCTCTCTCAGGTCCTTAAGGCAATTACATTTGCGCCCTCGCAGTCGATCCGGGAACCAGGAATGTAAATTTCACACGCAACCAAAATGACGAGGTGCTTTCATCCATCCACCTACTGGCCTCCAGGTTGGATTCATGGGATAGCGACGGTACCTTCACGTTCAACCTCCCGTTTGAAGGACTCGGTACCGACTCGGACCTGATTGCGCAACTTTCATCTCGGTCGTTTTAATATGCAGGTCAACTCTACATCACTTCCAACGCATGTCATCAACCCTTCTTGCATTATCCTGGGCCAAGTGGCAGTGATACGACTCAGGATGCCATCCGTCTTCTCGTCTGACTTGCATTGTCGCTTTCGGAACTGAGGTCGTTTATGTTACTCGTCAATTAGGCTTTTCATGACGTCGTTGACCTCCTCTCATGTCCTTGCCCAGCAGCCTCATTGCAAGATACGCACGGGAGTGGCAACGGTGTTTTACCCGAGCCTGGGAAATGTCGACTATCCCGAAAGATACGGTCATGGGATGCTGAAAGAGGATTTTCAGTGCAGCTGGACGTTATCTGTTTCAATCTGTACCAGTCACCAGACGATCCTCTCCTAACACTTTGGCATCCCAATACCCCATTCAATGATCGCCACATAGAAGCTAGCCCATTTCATCCCGTTATTCCACCTATACTCCACATTCTGGGGCCGCGACGTTCACATGTCTGTCTAAAGAACACACACTCAATCCTGTATCCAAATGCATAAAGACCTCTGAGACAAACCGTTCGTTCATCAAAAAGTTAACCCTCTGAACACTCGTTGCAATGCCCGTCTCCGTTGGTACTATGATTCTTATGTTCAACGCATCTCTGACGCTCTCTAACAGGTGTACAAAAAATCATCTCTGGACGTTTCTACGCTCCAACATGTAAAAAATGGCGTGCACCAGCGTGATATATATGGCAATGAAGACGGTGGACCCCCTTTGACTATCGGCATAGTGTCCGTCACCAAGCACGACGGTGGAGCAACGGCCGGCAAGGCACCATGCAGCGGATATATCATCGTCACAGAGGGTGCGTGCGTGCCATAACATTTATGTAACAAGAAAAGTTGGACTGACGATAGCCGCAACTCATCCGTAGGTGAGATATCCGTGGAAGATGTTGCCAAGGCTGGAGATATCTCAGTCTTGCAGCCTGGCGACGCTGTCCGCGTTGATAAAGGTACAACCATCACCTTGTCTTCCCCGACCTCGGGAAAAGGCACGTTTTCTGCGTAGGCTTGGTGTTGCAGATTACTAACATTTCTCACTGGACAGGATTTTACATTACTCAACTTGGATTTGGGAGTGACCTGAAGAAACATCTTGTTTGAACGGCCAAGCTCATGTTTTCTCTTTCTGTCTTGCTGTGTTAACTGCTAGTCATGAACTTGGTGTACGTCTGAAATATGATTCCTATCGCCATGAGGCTTGGTTGTGAGCTAGTAATACTGCATTCAAACGCACTTGAATGGAAATAGACAAATGGTGGTATGCGAGACATCCTCTCCCAGCGATGCAGCAGTCATCAAACCCGGAAATTGAATTATTCAAATTATTGAAACACGTTTATGAGTAACAGACACAACAGCAAAAGACCGAGCAATCACTCTAAATCAAAGACCAAAATCTCAGCAGCTCGGTCGCCCACATTCTCCACCTCCAAGATAGCACCCTCCTTCTTCACATCCACATAAGCCCCATCCCCCTCTCTCAACTCCACCTCATCCCCGCCCTTAGTGCTAAACTTCACAGTAGCGCCGGTTGCCTGTTGCGGGTTATACCCACTCGTCTGGATAACCTGCACATACGCCTTCTTCCCCTCCAAAGGCCTGCTCAGCGCCTTGCCCGTCCCAAGGATCGACGCATAAAGTGTCAACGCGCTCTGTACCGGGGCCGGGCCCTCGCCATCCCTCCTATCCTTGATACCGTCTGCCCACACTGGCGCTACGACCTTGGCCCACTTGTCCGTCTTTTCCTCGTCGGTGAAGTGCCGAGTGAAGTACTTGGGCTGAAGACGCGCTGTGGTCGGGAGAGACCAGATCTGCAGGAGGTGCACTTCGTCACCTCCGTGCGCTTTTTCAGAGTGGGAAATGCCAGTGCCGGCGGAGGTCAGCTGGATGTCGCCGCGTTTGAGGATCTCGGTGTTGCCCATGGAGTCTTTGCTGAAGTGGGTAGGTTAGATAGGGGGATGAGGTAGCTGTAAAAAAAACTACGTACTGCTCGACTTCGCCGGAGACGATGTATGAGAATATTTCGAACTCGCGATGTGAGTGGGTTCCGAACCCTGTTCGGGGTGCGACGCGGTCTTCGTTAATTATGCGCAAAGGTCCGAAGAGTTCGTGCTTGGGGTCTTGATAACTGAAGTAATGAGTCAGAATTCTAACTTGACAATAACAGAAGGGGATGCGTGCCTTCCGGCCGAGAAGGTGTGGAACGCTTTGAGCCAGCCATGGTCGGCATTGCCTCGTTCTTCGCTCTTCCTGGGGATGAATTTCAAAGAACTCATGTTGGTCGTAATGGTAGATAGTTTCTTCACGAAGGTTGGCTTTAGAGAGTCTGAGTAGTGTAGACAAGTTGGGAATGACGCTGAAAAATATGGCGACGGTTATATATACGAGGACTAGGGTGATGATCCAGAAAAGAGGAGATTTGGGTGGCATGACTGGAGAGTCAGACCGAGCTGTATTGCAGAGGGTATCATCGTCAGCGTCCTCGACATGATGGAAGCAAGATTTGAAGTTGATTTGAAGTCTGCTTGTTGTTACAAATGATTTGTAGTCGATTTGTAATCACAGATAAGCAACGTCGTTGCTTCTCGAATACAGCTTACTTGAAGAAAATTTGACAGACGGAGTACAAGGATTCAAACGTGTATTGAATTATGGACAAAATCGAGTACAAGGATGAGGAAATACAATGAGTTTACAACTGGTTTACAACAATCTTCCGAAAAGATGAATCTCGGCAATCGTGGTTGTTGTAGAACTCCGCCCTATAGACGCCCACCCTTGTCACCTCGTATGCACTGCTTGTCCTCAACCTACTCTACACTCCATGCCACAATTCGCTCTAAGGCAGAGCAGAGCCCGACCCCCACTCCTCCGTCTCCCAGATGAGATCCTCGATGAGATTGCATCAGAGCTCGATCTCCACGAGGACCTTATCAACTTCGCTTTGGCCTCACATGCTTGTGCCAACATCGTCATACCACGGCATACCCAATATCGAATCATCCGTGTCCGAAACGTCGGCTTCCAACTATGGGCTCACCTCGCAAGACGAGCTGATATCTCCCGCAATATCCGTGAAGTGCATATGTGCGAACGACACAACTACACGGCGCCTGATCGTCTGCCCACCACTCTCGTCGATCCTCAACTGGATCTGTCCCAGTATCCAGAGGCGGATCGTGTGCGGAATATTTGCGAGGCACTGAGTCATATGACCGACTTACGGGTGTTCAGTTGGTGTTGGAATACGACGGGCCCGCAGCAGCGGAGCAAGCCAACGGTTGATTCTGCCCACGAGGATGCGATTCTCGATATCGTTCGTCACAAGCCGACGCTGAAGCACCTTGGGCTTTCGGGGCGCTTCGCCAATCACGTTAAAAGTTCCAACATCGACCCCAACAGCATGTCATATCCGGTAAGCTTGCTGTCCTTATTTTGTGGTGATATGACTGACAACGCTCGTAGCTATGGGATATATCCAACCTGACTGCCTTGTGCCTACTCGGGGATGCCTGGGTAAAGCCGGGAAACGCTGCACACGTTAGCCACATGTTTGAGCTATCGCCAGGGCTTGAGGTGCGTTCAACAACATGACAACCTTGTTTTCCCTATCTAATCTTATCTCTTCTCTACCTCTTAGTACTTGGAAATCCCTCTCGAATTTCATAACCTCGCGAAATGCAAGTTTCCCTGCCTCAAGAAGCTGAAACTGTCGCTCCAATCTGGCGCTACGTCTTCAATTGACGAGTCACGTGCACGGTTCCTGGAGAACCATCCGACCATCGAGGAATTGACTTGGTTCCCGATCGGCATTCCCAACCTCGCGCCTGGTAGCTTGCCCATCTTGAAGCGCTTGAGGACGAGCCTTCAGGTGGTCATCGCGCTCGATCAGCTTTCACAAGATCATGTTATACAGGTCGACAAACTGGATGATCAGGTTTCACCACAACAGCTAACGCTTTCAACGCCAACGCCAGGTCCCCCGGTCCTCCGCCCATTGGAATGTCTCGACGTGCGTTCCGTTGACGCTCAGACCCTGGCAAGCTTCAAGACGTTCGATCGGATGAGTCTTCGTAGACTCAGATTGCACATGTTGGGGGATCTGCACTCGATCCACCAGCTCGCCGAGTTCTTCCCCAACATCACTTGGCTTTCCTTACCCGCCGTCCACCTCCCCAAAGATGCCATCCACCCAGCCAATGTGAAACTCGTACGTAACCCTCAAAATCATCGGTACTCATGAATCTGATCAAATAATAACAACAGGAAGAATGGTTCGCCATTCTATCTCTCTTCCCAAACCTCGAAGTCTTCCGCGGTCGAGGGCTATGGACCGCCGTCGATTCAAAGAAGGAAAAGATGCATACGGCTATCATGCAGCTTGTCCAACTTTGCCCAAAGCTTCGCGAGCTCGACCACTGCGATTTCTACGAGAAGCGGTTTGCGTGGAGGAGAATTGCTATTATTAGGGAGGGCGAGTTCGGTGAGAGGGTGAGGTATGAAGTTAGGAAGCCGCCTGCAAAGTGGGTTTTCTCAAACCCAGCAAACAACGTTCTCTAAAAACAAGATGCTGACTTTTGTTTCCTCTATAGGGGCGTCTTTGATGTTACTGATGGGGCATTTGATTAACTTTAGAGTTACATTCGGTTTCTCGCAACACCCTATCTCAACTACAATGGTCGAGGTTTGTATTGTGTAGCGGGGCAATCCTTCTCGTCTCCCCGTGGCCGTAATGGGATAAGGTCACATATACCCCAAGTCTACAAAATTGATTTTTGTGTAGCTAGCTCTCATTGTTGTATTTTGTATTACTGTCGCTGTCCTCGGTGCTGTGGTAATGCTATTGTGTCTTCTGTCATACCATGAAGTGCTGAGAGGATTTCAAGTTTGTGAGTATGGAGGGTACAGGGCATTCAGCAGGTGTGCGATTGAACCATAACAGTAGAAATTGGCATTTGTCCTATGGCTCCTAGCGCTACACAAATGGGCCCAATGCCCATACATGTTATGGCACCATATGTAGGACCAATGTCATAATGACATTCAGGGTTGAATGTTGGGCCCAATGATCAAGCCAAGTGAAACATTATGGATGATTGGTTGGGCTCAATTATGGTGATCTATGTGGCTTGTATTAGCCTAAGGGTCATAGTTGGGCCCAATACTCAACTCACAATGGCTATATGTTTGGCCCAATGAGTGGAATTTTTCTTTTTGCAGGGGTTTTGTGAATTTAGGGAATTCCAAAGCACCTGCATGTGCAGATGTAATACATGTCCCTGGGGATATACAGAATATCTGGAAAAACAACCCTGGCATTCACATAATTGTTCTGGGAAAATGGAGAATTTTTGGAGCATCAATTGAGGGGCTGAGTATCCAAAATATAATATCTTACTCACATGTGCAAATGTAATAAATGTTCTGGGGATGTGTGGAATATCCAAAGAAAATGACCCTGGTGTCTGGACAAATGTTGCAGAAAAATGCAGAATTCCTGAAGCATCAATTGTGTGAAAGGAATATCTAAAAAAAACATTGCAGAATATCTGAATAAAAACAACCCTGGTGTCTGAATAAATGGTTGAGCAAATATGGAATTCCAGAAATTATGCCCTCCATTTCACCAACTTCTCACTTAATTGATGACTGAGAACCAGTTTTCTGGCAAAAGTATGCTTGACATCTAACAACAACCCCTGTCCTTGCTTGGCAGAGGGAGGGGTGGATTGATGACTAGAGGTTGACTTTGTCAACAAACACCTCACTTCTGTATTTTAAATATGTTAGTAAGGGTTCTTAGTACACCCTCGGCTTCACCCAAGTTCAACAAACTTACAAAATGCACTAACTGAAATTATTTTTTTGTTCCTTCATGGATTGAATACATATACATTATAGCTTGTCAAGAGGCTGCTGCTCATACTGTTCACAGGTTCAGTTCAGTCCAGTTTTTTGCCCCCAAAATGTGTGACCGTGGACCGCAACCGGTCTAGGACTGACCCAGATATTGAGGGAATTGAACTGAACCACCTAGGACCAGTCTTTTGCAGTCCATGGAACCAGTTCAGACCGATCCAGACCGGTTTTTTTGCATATAATTCATTGTACCAATATAAACCATTTGTATCTCAACTATTATTACTCTTAAAAATAAATGGGTTATATAATATAGTAAAGCATGTGAATACCCTAGTTTTTAAGAGATTTAATGAAGGTTTGACATACAGTTGAGTGCAAAAAGAATGAAGGTTGATTCATTTTTCTGGTTCTTTCTAAGAATCTATTGTACCTCAAATGTATTTGTGTATTCTTTTACATTATGTAGTTGTGTTACACTTCCCTTGGTATGGACTAATTTCAGTGAAAGCTGGAGCCTTGAGCAGGTTTTTATTCTGGAGGCCATTTTTGGCATCTGAAAAAAAAAAAAGCGCTAACTGGAAAGGTAGCCAGAACATACCTCTGGTCAACCTGAATGAGCCTATCAAAGAATTAGTCAAAAATACTGAGCGGTTAGGTCTGTAGAGGCTTTGGAAAATGGCTTGTTTTGTCTAAACAGGCCAAAAATGACCAAAATAGCACAAAATGACCATTTTCTGGAGGCTCTACAAGCATAACCACTCAGTATTTCTAACTAATTCTTTAATAGGCTCATTCAGGTTGACCAGAGGTATGTTCTGGTTACCTCTCCAGTTAGCACATATTTTTTTTTTAGATGCCAAAAATGGCCTCCAGAATAAAAACCTTCACAAGGCTCCAGCTTTCACTGAAATTAGTCCATGCCAAGGGAAGTGTAACACAACTACATAATATAAAAGAATACACAAATACATTTGAGGTACAATAGATTCTTAGAAAGAACCAGAAAAATGAACCAACCTTCATTCTTTTTGCACTCAACTGTTGCTATAACTGAAACCGAATTACATCTCCGCAAGACTTGGGCAAAATTTAATGTGGCAACTGTAAATTATTTGATGCATATCATACATTGATAGATGGTGAGTAGTCTGCATTCAATCGCACTCATCAAACCATAGTAAAAAATTGATGCTCATTATTCCCATGTTTGAGTCATGTGAGACCGCTAAAAAATGGGACACAACACATCAGTTTGATAGCATCTGCAGCCATGTCCTGCAACGAGCTCCCCCAATATACATTCAATATTGCTCTATTGTCATTTGAAAACCTCCTTGCTCATTTTACCATCTATGGACTACTCCAATGCAAATCCCGGTACACCCACCACACAGGTGCTGGATTGCAGATTTACCCAGCCTTATAGAAAGGATCTTTCCCAAGAGCAACCTGAACCTTTGCGAGCATGTCGATACCAGATCCTGTCGCTGAGATGGCAATTGTGTCTTGACTGTCTAAATCATGTGATGCTATTGAGTGCAAAGTCATGAGGTCCAAAAGGCAAAAGGGAGCTTGTCTTGAATATTTTTGTGGCATATCCCATCCCAAAGGACTGTTGAATTTGAAGGGTTCCTTTGCAGGGTTTTGGGACATAAAACATGTCTGATCTCCCCAATATTGCATTGAAAAATACTCAGCAGCATCACTAATTAGCAAACTGACACAGTCGTGGGAACCACACATGATTAGTTTGTTTTACTACAGTTTGATGGGTGCAACTAAAAGCAGACTCCATATGAGGGAGATCGACTATCATCACCCTCATCATAGGAGTTGCCTACAGGGGACTAGATGGTGAGCATATTTTCATCCTTATAGTTTCAATATCCAAAAATTGAATCAAGCAAAATGATGAAAATTTGAGTGAGGTCATTCTGGTATTTGTGCCAAAATGGATTTGGTTATATCTTTCTCAGTTCTTAACTGTTTTTGATGAACCAAAAACCCAAATGAAGGTAATAAACGTGGTTACAAGGGTACATAATGCATGTGACCATTTAACCAGTTGCAACCGATTGAAACTGGTCTTTGCAAGGTGTTAAAAGATTTTTGAAATGAGGCAACCGGCAACCAGAATAACCCCAAATTTGGGCAACTGCAACTGAAAAAAGACTGGACCATAGTCCGGTTCAGTTCAGTCCTATGGTTCAGTTCAGTCCTATGGTTTTTTTCAGTCCTATGGACTGAACCTTCAAACACCAGCTGCTTGTTTCCCAGCCTTTGGCTGACTCCTAGTGGCAGGGGTAGGGTGTTTGGACCATGTTTGCAGAAGAGTGGAGTGTTTGGTCCAATATGATGTCCTATTATTTGTGCCATGTTTGCAGAAGAGTGAGATGTTTGTTCCAACCTTGAAAATAAAGCAAGGTGACAGCTTTTCCTATGGTGATGACAAATCCTGCCTTTATGACATTGTCATCCTCATCACAGCTCACAATGAGTGCATTGGAGGGTAATTGGGAGCTCAACTGAAGGTTTGAGAAATGATTCAATGCAAGCACAGAGATATATGACATGCGAGAAAGGAAAAGTATGAAACAGCTTTAAGATACTTGCAATATCAATCAAAACAGTTACACAAAAATATTCCATTCAACATACTGAACAGCATATCAAGACATTGGTACAACATGTAATAATACTAAGCATGGAATCATTGTGGTAGGGGAGTTAAGAGGTAGTTCCTCCTAAGTCAGCATTGAGGGATTTCTTCTTATGAAATGAACGTGCTATTTTAGACATAATTTTTGAAGATTTCTTTACAAAATTGGACAAAGAGGACACTAATCAGATAAATATGAGGGATAGTTTACAAGAATAATTAATTTCAGTACACACCTTTTTTGTCAAAATTCATTGTTGAAGTCTCCTCAGTTTCTTGGACATTAGTCATAGAGGCATTTGCATGGTGGGATGTTGCTCCAATAACTCTGCTCTCAACATCCTGAGCTTGGATGACCAGCCTCTCTGCCTTTCTGCACTTTCCCAGACTTGTCAGGGTGGTTTCTAAGTTTTCCATAGCTTCAATTGTGGCTGGGTGTTCCACTCCAAGAATTCTCTTCCTTGCATCCAGAACTTGGATCTCCAGTGTCTCTGCCTCTGTGTGTTTTCCCAGCGTGATGATATGTTATTGCTAGATTTGCCATGGCTGTGATTGTGTCTGGGTGTTCCACTTCAAGAATTCTCTTCCTTGCATCCAGAACATGGATCTCCAGTGTCTCTCCCTCTGTGTGTCTTCCCAGGTGATGATATGTCACTGCTAGATTTGCCATGGCTCTGATTGTGTCTGGGTGTTCCACTTCAAGAATTCTCTTCCTTGCATCCAGAACATGGATCTCCAGTGTCTCTCCCTCTGTGTGTCTTCCCAGGTGATGATATGTCACTGCTAGATTTGCCATGGCTCTGATTGTGTCTGGGTGTTCCACTTCAAGAATTCTCTTCCTTGCATCCAGAACTTGGATCTCCAGTGTCTCTCCCTCTGTGTGTCTTCCCAGGTGATGATATGTCACTGCTAGATTTGCCATGGCTCTGATTGTGTCTGGGTGTTCCACTCCAAGAATTCTCTTCCTTGCATCCAGAACTTGGATCTCCAGTGTCTCTGCCTCTGTAAATCTTCCCATGTTTCTATATGAAGATGCTAAATTTGCCATGGCAAGGATTGTGTCTGGGTGTTCCACTCCAAGAATTCTCTTGCTTGCATCCAGAACTTGGATCTCCAGTTTCTCTGCATCTGTGTATTTTCCCAGGTTTTGATATGTTGCTGCTAGATTTGCCATGGCTTTGATTGTGGATGGGTGTTCCATTCCAAGAATTCTCTTTCTTGCATCCAAAACTTGGATCTCCAGTGTCTCTGCCTCTGTGTATTTTCCCAGGTTTTGATATGTACTGCTAGATTTGCCATGGCTTTGATTGTGGATGGGTGTTCCATTCCAAGAATTCTCTTTCTTGCATCCAAAACTTGGATCTCCAGTGTCTCTGCCTCTGTGTGTTTTCCCAGGGCTCCATATGAACATGCTAGATTTGCCATGGCTGTGATTGTGTGTGGGTGTTCCACTCCAAGAATTCTCTTTCTTGCATCCAGAACTTGGATCTCCAGTGTCTCTGCCTCTGTGTGTTTTCCCAGGGCTCCATATGAACATGCTAGATTTGCCATGGCTGTGATTGTGTGTCGGTGTTCCACTCCAAGAATTCTCTTTCTTGCATCCAGAACTTGGATCTCCAGTTTCTCTGCCTCCATGTATCTTCCCAGCTTTCTATATGAAGATGCTAAATTTGCCATGGCTTCAATTGTGTGTGGGTGTTCCACTCCAAGGATTCTCTTCCTTGCATCCAGAACTTGGATCTCCAGTTTCTCTGCCTTTGTGTATTTTCCCAGGCTCAGAAATGTTAGTGCTAGATTTGCCATGGCTTTGATTGTGTGTGGGTGTTCCACTCCAAGAATTCTCTTCCTTGCATCCAGAACTTGGATCCCTAGTTTCTCTGCCTCTCTGCATTTTCCCAAATCTCCATTTGTTAATGCAAGACTTTCCATGGCATTGATTGTATCTGGGTGTTCCACTCCAAGCATTTTGGCCCTGGTATCCAGAACTTTGATCTCCAAGGTTTCTGCTTCTTTTGAATATCCTTGTTCTCTCAACAGCATCCCAAAATTTGCACAAGCATCATCCATGTAACTGATAATATTCTGATTGCCTTCTGATCGAAATACTCCATATTTGCTCTCACATGTGTTACCAAGGTCCTCCAGAATCCATATGGCTGGTCTACATTCCAGCTTAGTGAACAAGATAATATGACATACACCATTGAGCAACATTTTTTCCTCTCACTCAAAGTCAATCTGTCCCTGCCCCAGGTATGAACCAGTGGATGCATTGCATATGTATTATCAGACAGGCCCCTTTTAATTAAAGAGAAAGACAGCAATGTCCGTATTCCCTCTCTAAAAATAAAATTATCCCAAGTGCCTGTCTCACAAAGCGGAAGTAGTCTTCAGTCCAACAGTGAACTAGCAAGAGGTAAATTTGACATGGGAGTTTCATCATCTTCTGAAAGGGCAGCATAAGAAAATATTTCCTCAGATATTCCCTCATGATGGAAGAAAGGAAATAATTCTAGAAGTACAATTGCACTATTGGCTGCATTGGCCTTATAAGAATCACCAGATTTAGCACTTTGTTGAATTTCTTTGTATGATAGCTCCCAAGTTTCATAGACAGTTTTGTTATACTTAGAAGCCCCAGTAAATTCAGAATGAGATAATAATGTTTTTTGGTGCTCTGAATATTTTGCTAGGTAGTCTCCAATAGTGGTGGCCCCAGAAGCAATATAAGCACCAGCTTGGTCAATTGCAGAGGAAAGCAGAAGAGCTCTATTACAATCTTAGAGGCTTGGATTTGAACATCTGATGTGGATGATTCCAAGCAACTAGCTTTCAGAAGTAGTTCAATAGCATCCCTCTCTTCCATTTCAGTCACTTCAAGAGCATTCTGAGGTGAAGTCAGAGTCCTCATGGCAGAGTTACGACTAGTTATCAGAATGTTTCCACTCATTCCAGGTGGAAAATACACCTCCAGTGCAGCAGGTGACAGAACATCAGCATTATCAAAGATCAGGATGTAATTCTTTTTCAGAGAGCCAATCCACCAGAGAGCAGACTCAGGTGAGCCATCCAATCCACAAGACTGACCAAGACCCTTCAATGCCTGCATGATGGTACCCAAGGAGGATGCATCAACCCAGAAAACATGAGAGAAGCTGAGGACAATTCAATTTTTCAGGTAGGATCAGACTGGTGTTTAATAGGTACTCACCTGTGAGACATTTCCTCAACAAACTTTAAGCAAATCTGAGTCTTTCCAATACCCCCCATTCCATATAACAAGAAAAGCTTTCTCTTCTGAACTACATCATTTGCATTGGTGAAAAAATGCCGCGTGAGTTTCGCGATGGCTTCTGTATGCCCAGTGAACCGAGTGCTCGGGTTTGGCATAAGGGGAATGACCCCTGTCGTCCTATTGCCGTGGATGTTGACCTGCAACAGATCCAATGCTGTCAGCTTGCTTGACGGATACCTTTAGCGAACATTACACTCACAGTCTTAGCTTCAATGAATGTGCCGTTGTTGGCGACAAAGTGGTGAGTGCCTGCAAAGAAGCTCGCTCCACTCATGTTGAGATATCGAAGATGGACTTTCAGGATGAGGGAGGGAAAGAAAGGACAGCGCCTAAACCGTGCACCCCCCCAATCATGCCACGAGGTGAAGGCGTGCCTGTTTCTATTTTTACAAACATGAACATGCCGGGCACCTGCAGGGCTCACGACGAGAGAATAAAGTCCGTTTTTGGCGCCGAACGCGCCTATTGGACTGATGTATAGGCCGTGCTTACAAGTGGACTTTACGAACGTGGGCCTGGCTGACCTTCTTTCTCGTAGTAGTCATGGCAGATTTGGTTGCGCGGTGTCAAGTCTCATACCTGAAACCAGAACACGGTACGCAATCTACACGTCTCTCTTTTTCGTCTCAACGATATGATCTCTCAAAGTGAGTGGCCGGATCATTGTCGAGTTCGCCCCTCTCTGAACATCCATTTTGATAGCTGCAAATTTAAAGCTGGAGCTGCTGCGCGGTGGCTTAGTGGCTCGGTTTGAGTGCCAATATATTTCATTCGTCAAGTCCTTACAACTGGCTGTGTTCACATCGGTTTGCCTGACGGAGAGAATGTAAAGTGAGCTCATAGTCTTTTCTATTTTGAACCGACGGTGGCTAAGGATTATTTACCCAGCTACTTCATCAGCAAAAACCCTGGGAACTGGTAGACATTGTAAGTCGGTGAAATCCGAGGGAGACGTTACAATATGTAACATGCGTTACAACGCGTCTACAATCTGTTCACCATAGCCGAAATGGCTTGTGGATGTTGCAACTATGTCACCCGCTCCTTACCATTCCTTGCTACTTTACAGGACTTAAACGTTTTTTCAACATGTCAGAGTCACGGGAAGGATCAGATCCAACCAACACGGTGGCGCCGCCTTTTCCCATTCCACCTCGCTCAACTTGAACCCTCTTGAACCCTCAACCACCCAGCCTCGCAACGTTTCACTGTACAACGGCGCTCAACAGAGCTACTGTCTCTCTAGGCTCAGCTTCCTCTCAGGATTGCGCCGCCTCCTCGCCATCTCGTCAGCCCTCCGCCTTTCCCATCGATGTTGAACGTCCGAATTCGGAAATTTTTGGACCTGTGAACTTTTCCCTCAACATCAAACTTCACGCTCTCCCCTCCTTCCCCCCCGCGCAATGTCTTCATGATTGGGTATGTGCTTGGCCAGCACAAACTCACTCATGATGACATTGACATTGACACATTGCATTTATGGCAGAATCTTTACATCAAAACCCCAACAAATCTGTCAACCCCTCTGTGGCACAATGCAGCCAGAAGACCCTGGCCGCCCGACGACGCATGCAAAGTATACGGTGGGCGGTAAGTATTGTAGAGTGCGACGTGACCTTTGGATGACGACGAAGGAAGGTGACGTCGGGGGTGGGTGGGCGTGGGGGTATTTGGAGGTGGTGACGTGGGGCCTCCATTTCGATGTGAAGGAAGTTGTCCATGGGGGTAACGCCATTTCGAGGTACGTGGACTCACACCATTTCCGTAGCTTTCACTGATAACACAAGTTTAGACCATCAACTGGTACTCACAAGATACTGGTATTCAGCGCGATTGCTCTGAACATCACAAGGTGACCCTCCCGCTTCGCTTCTTTATGAACGTGTTCTCAAGTTCCTTCACTCCAGTGATTGCATACGTCACTTCTAATGTGTGTTGTTCATTCACTCTGACACAATTGTTACTTAACTATCTTATCCAAGGAACCTTTTGATTCTACAGGAGTGATGAGGGAGATGACGATATGGTTACCGTCTTTGGCGGCACAAATGTGGGCGCAGGCGGCTGAAGATCGCGAGAAGTGTAGGCTATTTAGTACTGTGCAGGCTGCAACCATATTTAAATGAATCTTCCTGTACATATGCATATTCCAATTGAGATTGTGGCGACATTCTATCTTCATACAAATCCACTTGTAATTGGCTTGCAAGTTGCAACCTGATAAAATAGTGCAATTATTGTGTGACATTACAATGCCGCTACTGTACTATGACAATGTATCTTGTAAAATATCCCTCAGCGATGTAAGCGGTGATAACTGATTGCACTCATTGTAAGGTCGTTGCGAGCCCTTTTGATCCTTGTCGTCTGGTAGCAACTGAATCCAAGGTGATCAAAATAGTCACGGGTTTTTGCTGATGTTATCCCAGCGTATCCCCTCACGAGGGCATGTCAGCCACTGGGGTAGACCAGTCTACAGAGTCCACAGAGAAGGCACAGGCACCAGGGTCCAGCTCTCTCATCTTTACTAAACCCTGATTTGACACACTCCGGAATTCTCCGGTCTTCTCCCTCGTTGTACGCCACGTCGCCAAAACACTTCCAGCATCGTTTGGTGTCGTCGGCTTCAACCTAGCAGGGTATCTTTACCTCAATTACAAATTGAAGAAAATTGGGAAATAATATATTTGAGTTCTAGCTATGAGTTGCTGAAGAGTGCGCCAAATTAGAGCCACAAAGAAAAGATTTACTCGAGCTTATCGTTGGAAACGGCGAGCAGCAAACAACGATGAGGAAACTTCGATGTTAAATTTGGCGTGACAAACGGATACCGCCCTGAGCGGACACTTAAATCTACGTTATATAAGCTGATGGCTCTTGCTACGTTTTGAGCTGCGAGCTGCGCTCATTTTTGAATGGCCCTGTTAGGTCAACCAAAATACACCAGTAGCATTTTATTACGAGGATGGGTGGAAAAAGGCGGGCCAAGGTGCAACAAAGATGGGCGGGTTCAGGCGCGACGAAGGTGGGCGGGTTCAGGGACGTGGCTAAATAACACGGTCCGGGATTGAAGAGCTGTTTGACATGAGGCTGGTGGAAAGTCGGAAAAGGCCGAGTCCACCATCAGTCTACGTAGAACGGTCTACCCCAGTGGATGCGAAGCTCTGCCCCTCACACACCCACATTCGCCCACTCCTTCTCAATGAAGCCAACGCCCAACGACAGCCGACCTTATCATTTCCTTCAAATTTAACAGCATGCCCATTTCACAGCTCTCCCTCCACCACCTACGCTTTTCGTCCTTGCCACCGTCCTCCTGATTGATGTCAATCATTGGGAGTGCCTCTCAGACGACACGGACGCACGATGAATCATAACGGAAATGGACGGCGGATGGGTCGAGGTCTCCTCCATCAACGATCCGATACTGTGGACCACATTTGGAAAAAAGCTGAGAGGGACAAAGAGAGTGAGGGTCGAGTTGCAGTGGCCGAACATATCTGATACCCCATTCGCTTCCCCTTTTCCCCCGTCAATCGACTTCCACAAAATTCAAGGTCTTCCCTGACGCCTCTTAACGATCCCCTCAAGTTGCCCTCTTCCAAAGGAGGTCTCTCCTCCGACCTTGGTTGGAAGAGTGTACGATGAACTCCTCGGCTGACATCACGTTGAACTCGAACCGTTTGCACTGGCTCTATATTGTGTACACCGCTCTCAAAATTTTGAGGAGGAATGGCGAGGACGAACGAGCAGGAGAATGTTTTCTCGAGGTGTGTCAGGCTTAGACTTCGTATCTTGTCGTTTACTCGATTGACTCAACGACATTCACAGCCGACATCTAGTGACACTCCACTCGGCGTTTCCGAAACTTTATTGCTCCTCACAAGCTCAAAGGACCCCGTCATCCTGCCCGACACACTGCTGTCGAGCTGCGGTTTCAAGGACACTAGTACTCTCGATCAGCCGCCCAGCTCCACAAACTCCATCCTCCCGATACTCCTCCTCCAACGATCTGTATCTCCAAACTACGCTATAAGGGTCACGCCATACCAGAACTGCACGACCGTTGGTATCTGCCTCTCTACATCCCTCATGGTGGTGTATTTCGGCAGCTTGATGTGCTCCGCATGAACATCGAGTTGGGAGCTGTACGTTGGGCGAGAGGTGAGTACGACATTCTGTCATTAAATTCCACATGTCAACATTGTTGCAGTCATTTCCCTACGATACCCCAAGAGTTCGGTTTTCATTCCCGTCATGGACTGCGCGCGCCATTTTAATTCTTATACAATACTCGAAGTCAACCACAGGGTACGCAGAATACCCTCACGCCACATTCCGCCATTGATCTTTATATTTGTTCTAGTCACACCACAACTTTGAAAAAATACTTGGCCGTTACCTTTACCTCCGTGAAATGCAACATTGGACTCTGCTGCTCTAAAGTCGTCGCGTTAGTGTAGGCATTGGAGATGTTAGCTGGGACCGCGCCAGCGACGGCTATGACAGATTGAGGTGGGGTGCAATGTGCAAGCTACCAGTGCCAAAGGAAACGTACATTCCGGGTGGGCAATTCCCGTTAGATAAAGGAAACTACATTTTGTCAGTATTGACACTGACACACGACGACAAAGGTAAGATCCCGAGCCAATGTCAACGCTTGTGTCATTAGCACCCTGTACCAATCCAAGGAGAGGGAAACCGATCTCATCCGAGTCCTACGAAAAAGGCAAATCCATATCAACATCCACTTGAAACAGGAAAGACGGAAGAGGCTACCTCCATGGTGATACGGACTTGTGAAGCTGAGATCGAGGATTCCTGGATGACGAAAGTAACGGTGGTGGCGTTGTCGATGGCCGGCTCACACTGGAGCTGGGCTTTGCTAAGAGAATTCTTGGAAATATAACCGAGACTGTCTCCTGTGCTGTTTTTGACCTCGATAACTCCGCGTTTGGTTATGGTCTTTACGGCTTGAATGGCGGGGACAGAGGAAGGCGTCGAGCGGCGGTCGATATCTAGGAAGAGGACGGTGAGTCGTAGTACTGACTTGTCATAAAAAAAGAGAGGATACGCACAAACTAAAGTGACCGAACTCGGACTTGTTCTGCATTCGAAGAGCAAATTAAAAAATGTAGGCGCTTGCTTTCGTCGCTTCGCTGTGCGATGAGGCAGCTGAGCAATTGTCTGGCGCCGCAATGACCTGCGATCCAAACAAAAGTAAACACGTGTTTCCTCCACCACGCCGGGGAAAATTTGAAAATGACGCTGTTTCGTCTGCAGAGAGGCATGACTGAAAAGCCGTGAAAGAAAGTAGATCGCTTTCTGGTCCCGCTCTTATGCGAAGCCCCCAAGTCTCTCGTGTTCTCGTCCTTTGTCGCATCCGGATAGCTCGAAGACCTGCTGACCGGGCCCATTCAAGTTGATGCTGAAATAGTTTTCACATTCTATGGCGCCGATTTTTCATTACTGGGGCGTACACAAAAGAGATGCGCTACTGACCCTCCGTAACTCATAGGTGATGCCGTGAGAATCTTGATACCAGGCATGCTGTCAATGTTGAGCCCCCTAGTCAACATCGGCTCCTCATCCTCCACTGCGCCTGCGATCTCCCTCTCCCCACAACCCCCAAACCGCGTTGACCACCCTACACCCGTTCAACGTTCGCAAATTCAACACAATCGTCTCCACGCGTCAGTTTTTCGGTCCTTCGAGCGTTCAACATGTTCCTTGCGAGAGCGGATCTTCGATCTGGGAATAAACGTCGACTTTGTTCAGATTGACGATGCGTTGGTATGGGGAAGGGGAAGAATGACGATACGCCGTATGCATCTGAGCTGCGTATCGTGGTGTCAAGGTCCTGGTGACAATATGCTACGTGATGTTGCTCATACGTGGTAGGTTTCAGAATCTGAAGGGGGTTAAAATAGCTATGTCAGGCCAAAGACGGTGGTGTGCATGAGCGTCACGGAGATGATCTAGGCTTTCGAGAGGTCGATTTGAGGGGAGCAAGTGAGCTGGATGGGATGCGCCACAGTTTTGCCAGACAACTTGTGAATGCTCAGCTTGGATTCGGTCGGGGGTGACTTCGGTTCACAAATGTACTATGACGTCTGACCTGATTGAAACAAGATGAGGTCAGGGCTACAACAAAAGGAGCTATTGATGAACGTTACCCACCTTCAAATTGAGATTCGTGTCTGTACGCAAACAAACCCCTTAACACCCCTTCACTGTATGAACTCATTTTTTCTTGTAGTGGACCATCGACCTCACTACAGGCAACCTCAACCCTCAATGGATCAACTCCAACGGCTGTAAGCTCGGTGCTCACCCTCACATCTTGCAAGCACTTAACGTTTCTCCATTGAAAGAGTGTATGATGGGTTCCTCAGCTGACATCGCATCAGCAACGACCCTCCGTGACGTTGAACTCAATTCGTTTGCAATCGCCAACACCGCTCTCATGATTTTGAGGAGGAATGGCGAGGACGAACGAGCAGAATTTTGGGCAAGTCCATTGTGACGGGGCAGGTGCATTCCGTGGATTTGAAACGCGAATATGCGATCGAGGAGCGAAGTGTATGCGGCGTTTGTTGAGCTGGGCGTGATGGGGGAGTGGTGCCATTGGCCGGAAGGCCAACGTGAGGCATGCTCGAGTGTTCAACGCCGGAGTTGATGGAGAGGTGGTGGATAGACGGACGAAAAGAGCGAGAGAACGACCAACGGCGGAGTTGGCAGCATGCGGCGTCGGTTGACGTTCTCGTCTGAAAGTTGTTAATTCCGCCGTTGAAGTGGATGTTGGAATAACACCTGGTATATGGTCAAGTATTCCATGCATCTCGAGGACTTTGTAGCCTATAGATCGAGATTGATGGATTAATAAGTCCGAGAACATCACCGAACAATTCACACGTATCTAGTAATTAGTAGTATATTCTAGTAGTTACATTTTGTAGTATATAAGGGCGACGAAGCTGCCCTCGACATGATTATTATCTTTATCCCCTATTACCACTGCGCTATATACACTCTCAACAGTGGATATACGATTTCAGCCACCACGACGTTGTCGATAACATCGCCATCTTCATGACACCTGTACTACTCTTGCGACCTTGCAAGAAGTCACCCCGACCGAATCCAAGCTGAGGATTCATGAGTTGTCTGGAAGAACTGCATACCCCATCCAGCCCACTTCTTCCCTTCAAATCAACCTCTCGACAGCCTAGACCCCCGTGACGCCCATTCACACCACCCTCTTTGCCGTAATGTGGCTTTCTCACCTCCCTTCAGATTTTGGAACCTACCACCTATAAGCAACCTTGCGTAGTGTATCGTCACCAGGATCCCATGATATGCAGCACCAGCATACTGATCGTCACCCCCTCCTTCCCCTCACCGCATACCAAGGCGTCGTAAATCTGAAGAGTCGACGTTTAGCCCCAGATCGAAGATCCGCTCTTGCAAGGAACATGTTGAACCCTCGAAGGACCGAGAGACAAATGGGTGGACATGATCGTGTTGAGTTTGTGCGCGTTGAGCCGGTGTTGGGTGGTCAACGCAGTTTGGGGGTTGTGTGGAGAGGCAGGGTGCAGGCGCAGTGGACTATGAGAAGCCGATGTTGACTAGGAGGGGTCGGATTGAGTGATTTGAATGTTGAATTCCAGGAGGCTGAGCCGTCATGGGTCGACCTAAATGGTTTCAAGCCCAAGATGTCATGGATTTTGTTGTGTCGTCGATCGAGGGAGGATTGAGCGGCTGATGCGTGTCACCTTCTCTTGTCTGGGGAGGGTGTCTTCTGGGAGTGAGAATCTGGGTTCACAAAGAGACCTGGTGACCCGATTGCATGGGGGAAGGACGTTTGAGGAAGCTGTGCATGTTGGTGTATGCGCAGGGAAGGTGATACGTTGATTCGAGGTAGAAATCCCCGCCACTAGCGCTGTGGTGAGTTGGGCTACTGAAGTAGTTGCAAGCGGACAAGAGCAGTGATGGAAGGCCAAAGTGTTGTCACGTATACTTGGACTTGATCCAACGGGGGCTGTTTGAGCCAAGATTGCCCTTTTCCCACTCTCTCAATCAGCACACAATGATTAATCACCCGGAGCAGAGCCCGACCCCCACTCCTTTGTCCCCCCAGATGAGATCCTCGATGATGTTGCATCAGAGCTCGATCTCCACAAGGGCCTCATCAACTTCGCTTTGGCCTGACATGCTTGTGCCAACATCGTCATACCCTGTCACACCCAATATCAAATCATCCGCGTCCGCAACACCGGCTTCCAGCTATGGGCGCACCTCTCAAGACGAGCTGACATCGCTCGCAACATTCGTGAGGTGCATATATGCGAACGGCACAACTACACAGCACCTGACCGTATACCCACCACTCTCGTCGATCCTCAACTGGATCTGGCCCAGTCTCCCGAAGCGGATCGTGTGCGGAATATTTGCGAGGCTTTGAGCCATGTGGCCGACTTGCGGGTGTTCACTTGGGTTGGAATAGGACGGGCCCACAGCAGCGTAGCAAGCTGACTGTTCTTCCTGCTCATGGGGATGCGATTCTTAGTGTTTAAAGGTTCAGTCCATAGGACCGCAAAAAACCGGTGGACCGAACTGAACCGGACCATGGTCCGGTCTTTTTTTCGGTTGCAGTTGCCCCAATTTGGGGTTGGTCCGGTTGCCGGTTGCCTCATTTCGAAAATATATTAAAACCGTTCAAAGACCGGTTTTGATCGGTTGCAACTGGTTAAACGGTCACGTGCGTTACATACCCTTGTAACCACGTTTATTACCTTTTATTGGGTTTTTGTTTCATCAAAAACGGATAAGAATTGAGAAAGATATAACCAAATCCATATTTTACCCGAGTCTCTACGAGATGTAATTCGGTTTCAGTCGTATCTATGTCAAATCTTCATTAAATCTCTTCAAAATTGGTAGAATGACGGGTATTTACATGCTTCACTATTTCATATAACCCGTTTATTTTTCAGAGTAATAATAGTCAAGATACAAATGGTTTATATTGGTATAATAAATTATACGCAAAAAAACCGGTCTGGATCGGTCTGAACCGGCTTCATAGACCGAAATAGACCGGTCCTAGGTGGTTCGGTTCGGTTCCCTCAATATCTGGGTCGGTCCTAGACTGGTTGCGGTCCACGGTTGCGCGTTTTGGGGGCAAAAAACCGGACTGAACTGAACTTGCGAACACTAGCGATTCTCAATATCATACGTCAGAAGCCTACGCTGAAGCACCTTGGGCTTCCCAGGCGCTTTGCTAATCACGTTCAGAGTTCCAACATCGACCCCAACAGCATGTCATACCCGGTAAGTTTGTTGTCCTTATTCTGTGATGATATGGCTGACAACTCACATAGCTATGGAATATATCCAACCTGACTGCCTTATGCCTACTCGGAGACGCTTGGGTAAAGTCGGGAAATGCTGCGCACGTTAGCCACATGTTTGAGCTATCACCAGGGCTTGAGGTGCATTCAACATGACAACCTTGTTTTCCTTATCTAATCTCATCCCTTCTCTGCCTCTTAGTACCTGGAAATCCCCCTCAAATTTCATAACCTCGCGAAATGCAGGTTCCCCCGCCTCAAGAAGCTGAAATTGTCGCTCCAATCTGGCGCTACGTCTTCAATTGACGAGTCACGTGCACGATTCCTGGAGAACCATCCAACGATTGAGGAACTGACTTGGTTCCCGAGCGGCATTCCCAACCTCGCTCCTGGTAGCTTGCCCATCTTGAAGTGCCTCAGGACGAGCCTTCAGGTGGTCATCGCGCTTGATCAGCTTTCCCAAGATCATGTTATACCGGTTGAGAAACTCGTTGATCAGGTTTCACCACAATGACTAACGCTTCCAATGCCAACCCCAGATCCCCCAGTCCTCTGCCCGTTAGAATGTCTCGACGTGCGTTCCGTCGACGCTCAGACCCTGGCAAGCTTCAAGACATTCGATCGGATGAGTCTTCGTAGACTCAGATTACACATGCTGGGGGATCTGCACTCAATCCACCAGCTCGCTGAGTTCTTCCCCAACATCACTTGGCTTTCCTTGCCTGCCGTTCACCTCCCTAAAGATGCCATCCATCCAGCTAATGTGAAACTTGTACGTGTGCCCCGAAATCATCGCTATCCATGACTCTAACAACAAACAGGAAGAATGGTTCTCCATTCTCTCTCTCTTCCCCAACCTCGAGGTATTCCGCGGTCGGGGGCTATGGACTGCCATCGATTCAAAGAAGGAAAAGATGCCCACGGCTATCATGCAGCTTGTCCAACTCTGCCCAAAGCTGCGTGAGCTCGATCACTGTGATTTCTACGAGAAACACTTTGCGTGGAGGAGAATTGCTATTATTAGGGAGGGCGAATTTGGTGAGAGGGTGAGGTATGAAGGGAGGAAGCCGCTGGCAAAGTGGGTTTCTTACAACCTTTCTCTAAAACCAAGATGCTGACTTTTTTTTCCTCTATAGGGGCGTCTTCGATGTCACCAATGGGGCTTTTGATTAACTCTGGAATTTAATTTGGTTTCTCGCAACACCCTATCTCAACTACAATGATTGAGGTTTGTATTGTGTAGCAGGGCAATCCTTCTTGTCTCCTGTGGCCGTAATGGGATAAGGTCCACATATACCCCACGTTTACAGAATTGGTTCTTGTGTAGCTAGCATTGTTGTATTTTGTATTGCTGTCACTTTCTCAGTGCTGTGGTAATGCTATCGTGTCTTCTGTCATACCATGAAGTGCTGAGAGGATTGCAAATTTGTGAGTGTGGAGGGTAGCTGGCTATCAACCTTCAAGACAACTCCAAGGGACCAAGGGTGCTCTAGCAATAGAATGCCAGCCTACCTATATCCAGTCAGGCATTCAGCAGGTGTGCAATTGAACCATAACAGTAGAAATTGGCATTTGTCCTATGGCTCATAGTGCTACACAAATGGGCCCAATGCCCATACATGTTATGGCACCTTATGTGGGACCAATGCCATAATGTCATTTAGGGTTGAATGTTAGGCAGCCAAGTGAAACATTATGGATGATTGGTTGGGCCCAATCATGGTGGTCTATATGGCTTGTATTAGCCTAAGGCTCATAGTTGGGCCCAATACTCAACTCTCACAATGGCTATATGTTTGGCCCAATAAGTGTAACTTTTCTTTTTTCAGGGGTTTTGTGAATTTAGGGAATTCCAAAGCACCTGCATGTGCAGATGTAATCAAGGGGGTGGCGGAATGTGGATTTTAGATATACAGTCGCATTATGAATTAAGGTGCCCTCAGTCTACCCCCCCTACCCCCTACCCCCCAAAAAAGGAAACTTCCAAGTTCCTATGTCAAAAACATACTCAAGTAGGTATGTAGTACTTATGCTACATTTTGGATCTGTTACTACATGCAACAACACTTCACCCCCATAGTATCCATACAAGTTGATATGCTGCTGCAGATTTGCTTGACTACCTGTTCCAACAGGATTCTCTTTCTCACATTCTGGGCAATGAAGCTTGGTGTCGCTCGTAAACCCTGACGCTTGTCTGTAATACAGTATTGCATTAGAATATATATCTAAAATAGGGACTTACTTCTTCTTTGCCATACTTTTTGTGAACCTGAGCAGTGTTATAAAAAAGTTTGTTGACTTTTTTGGCTCTCAGTCAAAATTTCGGACAGTAAATACATAGATTAAGTGTTTGCCATGCATCTGAACTTCCCAACTTTTTTGGGGAGCATGATTTGGCTTATTGGCAGGACTTTTGCAAAGTAGGTCACAAAAAATATTTCAACCCCCAAGTGGAGCCCCCCCCCCCCTAACCCTATATCCAGGATCCACGTTCCGCCACCCCCTTGGATGTAATACATGTCCCTGGGGATTGTGCAATCCTGTTGTTTGCATACTTGTTCTGGGAAAATGTGGAATTTCTGGAGCATCAATTGAGGGGCTGAATATCCAAAATAGAATATCCCACTCACATGTGCAAATGTAATAAATGTTCTGGGGATGTGCTGAATATCCAAAAAAAAAAAAACCCTGGTGTCTAGACAAATGTTGCAGAACAATGCAGACTTCCTGAAGAATCAATTGTGCAGAATATCCAAAGAAAACATTGCAGATTATCCAAACCCCCAGTGTCTGGATAAATCCTTGGGAAAATGTGGAATATCCAAAAAAGATAGTGTGAAATAGCTGAAAAAAAAACAACCTTGGTGTCTGGACAAATGTTGCAGGGAAATGAGGAATTCCAGAGGCATAAATTGTGTGCGATATCTAAAGAAAACACTGCAGAATATCTGAAAAAAACAACCCTGGTGTCTGGATAAATGCTCAAGCAAATACGGAATTCTGGAGATTGTGCCCTCCATTTCACCAACTTCTCACTTAATTGATGGCTGAGAACCAGTTTTCTGGCAAAAGTATGGTTGACATCTGGCATCAACTATCCTAACAATAACCCCTGTTCTTGCATGGCAGAGAAAGGGGTGGATGGATGACAAATCCTGCCTTTATGACATTGTCATCCTCATCACAGCTTACAGTGAGTGCATTGGAGAATAATTGGGGGCTCAACTGAAGGTTTGAGAAATAATTCAATGCATGCACAGAGATAGATAGAGTGTGAGACAGGAAAAGTGGAGATAGAGGTAGATTTCAGAGTGGTCCCAATGAGGAACAATCAGTTCCTGATACATACACACCCAATTGTGTGGGATATTTCCTGGTGATGTATTGATGGTTACCTTCCAGATGTGGCTGGCATATCCCAGGATATCAAGGTGATGCCTCAGGGATACTGAATTCTGGTGTCCTAAGATATCCCAGGACATACACAACCTCCAACTATCCTCATCCACTATCCTCTGGATATCATACTACTCATTATAAGGATACCATATGCATCTGCTTGAAATTGAGGATATTGGGTAAACAGCATTGTATTTCCATAGTCATAAACAATTAGTGTTTAAAGGTCCGGTCCATAGGACTGAAAAAAACTGGTGGACTGAAAAAAACTGGTGGACTGAAAAAAACTGGACCATGGACCAGTCTTTTTTTTGGTTGCAGTTGCCCAAATTTGGGGTTGGTCCGGTTGCTGGTTGCCTCATTTCAAAAATCTTTTAAAACCATTCAAAGGCTGGTTTAAATTGGTTGCAACCAGTTAAACAGTCACATGCATTATATAGCCTTGTAACCATGTTTATTACCTTTAATTGGGTTTTTGGTTCATCAAAAATGGTTAAGAACTGAGAAAGATATAACCAAATCCATTTTGGCACAAATACTTGTTTGTGCAACTTGTACCAGAATGACTTTAATTCTAACTCACTCAGACTTTCATCATTTGCTTGATTCAATTTTTGGATATTGACACTTAAACTATGAAAATATACTCACCATCTATCAATGTATAGTATGCATCAAATAATTTACAGTTGCCACATTACATTTTGCCTGAGTCTTTAGGAGATGTAATTCAGTTTCAGTCATAGATATGTCAAACCTCCATTAAATTTTATAAGAATTGGTGGAATGATGGGTATTTATATGTTTTACTATGATATATAACCAGTTTATTTTTTAGAGTAATAATAATTGAGATACAAATGGTTTATATTGGTACAACAAATTTTATGCAAAAAAACCGGTCTGAATTGGTTTGAACATGGTCCATGGACTGCAAAAGACTAGTCCTAGGTGGTCTGGTTTGGTTTCCTTAATATCTGGGTTGGTTGTAGACCAGTTGTGGTCTGTGGTTGCCTGTTTTCAGGGCGAAACACCAGACTGAACTGGACCTGCAAAGACTATAAACAATTGGATGATTACATAAAATGGTATATATCTGGTGCATGTTATACAAGAAACTAGAAAGGATTGGGTAATATGGTATAACAGAAAAAGGAGCATGTTCACACAGATATTCTGCCATGCATTGATAGTCTTAGTGTTGTTGTCTGCTGTCATTATGGTCATCTGTTGCTGCCATGTTGCACTGTTATCTGTCCATCCATCTCCTCTGTCATTGTCTTGTGGCCATTGTCATGATCATTGTGTCACCTCATCAGCACCAATGTGGCAAGGATGAGGCAGTGACATGGCAGTGGTTGGCCAGTGTTGTGGTGGCCACTGGGTGGGTTGTGGCTATTAGCAAGGAGAAAGAGGGGGGTTGTAGAATTTGAGCTCACCTGCACTACTGTTGTGTTGTTGCCATCTGGATGACATGGCAGATCTGGAGGAGGCCATTGATGGCATTGGCAGATTGTTGCAGTCATGATTGCAGTTTACTGAGGAGAATGTGGGCAATTGACAATGGGAGTGGGTGGTGACAACCATAGCAGCAGCAGGGGGGTCATCATGTAGGATGTGGTGAAGATGTGGCATGTTGTTGCTGAGCCTCCAGCACATGGTGTGGCAGTCAATGTGAGGGTCTAAATGTTGTTCAGCCCATGGCAGACACTCATGGTGCAAGGTGGTGGTCACATAGGGTGGTGACCAAGTGGCAACAGTGACACTTCAAACAAGGGACAATCAGGCAGTTAAGCAAAGCATTGGACAGATTCCTTGACAAATTTATCATTTTTGCACCTTGTATGTAATTAGATCAGATTAATGGGACAATTTTTTTTTTGACAGTATATTCACTAATTGTTCAAGGGGGCTGACAGAGTAAAAACAATTTATATGCTTACTGTTTAAATTTGTCCACATCTCTGTTCCCTAGGTGAAGTGTTTGCCGAAAATTAAAGTTTTGCCTCATGCCGAAGAGATAAACTGAATTGTTCCTGAAATCCATTTCATTTACAAATTTTAATGCTTAACAGCCTTTTGTCCTGTGGATATACCTTACAACACATTTTGAAAATAGTAACAACATTTTTTTTACATTTGGATGTCACCTTCACATAATAGGCAAACACACTGTCAAAATGAAAAAAAAATCCCATAGATCTGTTTTAATTACATAAAAGGTGAAAAAATGATCAATTTGTCCTAGAATCTGTCAAAGACTTTGCTTAACTGCCTGATCATCCCTTGTTTAAGGTGTGATGAGGATGGTGGTGGTGGTGGTGGTGAGGAGAATGTTTGTATGGTGTTTGTTTATGAGGTGGACCAAATGTCGGAGTTTCAATGGACTTAGACAAATTGAATGGTTCATGAGGTCCATTTCTACAGGACAACATCTACAGGTGTGGAAGTGCAGAGTGTTCTACTCACGGCACTTCCTTTATTTCTTTATTCTTCATGCGTGCTAGTTTTTACAGTTCCTTTTTATTTTTTTTAGTGTCTTTTATTTTTTTTTAGAATGCAAAAGTCAAGGACGACATCATCTCTGGCATCTTCACTGTAAACGGTCTCAAGGTATGACATCATCACCGGTTACTTTTCAATCAGCAATCTTTATAGGATTGGTTTTCAATCCTTCATCTTCATACGCTTGAATTCACATTTTCTCTTTATTCATTTTTGTTTGTTACTTGCGACAACTCCTTTCAGGGACCAAAACCAAGCTTTAGGAC